GAAAAATTTCAACCACCCAAAGCATTTTCGGACATACGATTATAATGCAGAATCGACCCCTCACGTCTGTTTTTACTAACACCCTTGTATTATTATAATATATGAGGCCATTATTTCCAAAACTAGCTAATCGACAAAAGTTTCGAATTTTTTTTTTTTTTTTTTTGATAAGTTAATTTCATTTTTAAACAGGAATCGAATGATATAATCAGAATTTTTCAAAACTAGTTCTTTAGCATATAAATGCTGTCGAGAAAATTACAGTTATTTGCAGAACTTGCTCTTTGCTTTAAATGTTTACCTGCAAAGCTCGCTGTTTGCTCTACCACCAATGAAATTTGCCGGTTAGTTCACGTGACAAACACGCTACTACAACAGCTGTGTTGAAGAAACAAATTTTTAGTAGTTTATAATTATTCAAACGATTAAACAGTTGTATTTTGGAGAATTAGAAACAGTTTTTTATTTTAATGGAATTAGTAAGTTGAAATACTACAAAGATGGACAGAATACTTCAAAGAAAAGCTTGAAAAAAACGAAGATCCACTATATGATGGAATTATACTGAATCAAACGGATACCAGAGAAACAACCCCCCTTCAGTAGCTGAAATGCAAGAAGCAGTTACCAGACTGAAAAACAACAAGTCACCTGGATTAGACAACATTAGCGCAGAATTAATAAAGGAAGGTGGAGACTCCCTATTGAATGCGATACACGAACTAATAGTGAACATATGAAATAGCAAACAACTGCCACAAGACTGGAATATCGGAGTAATTATCCCACTACATAAAAAGGAAGATCAGCTTCAATGTAAAAACTACCGGGCAATAACGCTACTTACTGTGACATATAAAATACTGTCCAATATTGTGTGTGACCGATTGAGACCATATGCAGAACAAATTGTTGGGGGATATCAATGTGGTTTCCGCAGGCAGAAGTCCACAATAGATCAGATCTTCGTCTTGAGGCAAATCTTGGAAAAGACCAGTGAATTTAATGTAGACACACATCTTTTCGTTGACTTTGAGAGTGCCTATAACAGCATCCATCGAGAATTTCTGATCCATGTACTGAAAGAGTTTAATATTCCAACTTAACTCATTCATATAGTAAAAGAAACACTTAAAGTACAAAGCAAAATTCGAATTCAAAACGAACTAACAGATACAATCCATGTGAGAACGGGCCTACGACAGGGAGGTGTCCTATCCTGTATTCTGTTCAACATCACATTAGAGAAAATAATAAGGGAGTCAAAGATCAACACCAGAGGAACAATAATGACAAAAAGGAGGTACTTCTAGCTATTATATCAACGTCATTTGCAGATGACGTTGATATAATAGCTAGAAGCGAACGAGAGATGATAGAAGCATTTAATGTAAGAAAGAGCCGCACAAAACAGTGGCCTAAGCATTAACAAAATAAAAACCAAATACATGAAGGCCAGTAAATCGACATGCCAAAGCAACCTACAGAATCTGACAATAGGAGACTATAACATCGAAAGCGTGAAAAGTTTTACATATCTAGGTTCATTAGTTACCGCAGATAACAATGTCAGTGAAGAAATTAAGAGACGAATACATATCGATAATAAAACATATAATGGACTGATTAAACATCTAAGATCTAACAACACCACAAGAAAAACCAAATGCAAAATATACAAGACCCTGATAAAACCGGTCCTTGTCTATGGATCAGAGACATGGGCACTGTCGAAAAGCGATGAGAACCTATTAGATACATTTGAACGAAAAATCCTTAGACACATATATAAGGGGGTAAAGGAAAATGACATATGGGGCAGAAGATATAACTTTGAACTATACACAGCATACAATGAACCCGAGATCATAACATCCATAAAGATCGGACGTCTGCGCTGGATGGGCCATGTTGAACGGATGTTGGAGACTGAAACGCCAAAACATATAATGAGGCAAACACCAGTAGGGAGAAGGTCAAAGGGAAGACCTAAACTTAGATACATGGAACAAGTGGATCAATATCTGAAAACACTTAAGATTACCAACTGGAAAAACAAGGTAAGGAACAGAACAGACTGGCGGAAACTCCTAGAACAAGCCAGGACCCAGAAAGAGTTTTCGAGCTACTGATGATGATGACGATGAGTTAGTAAGTGATAATGGTTGTTTTGTTAAACCTAGTCTACAGGGAAAAGGGCGCAAAAAAGTTATTACGTCAGAAACACATAAAAAGAATGTGGGTAAACTTGCTAGGGTGCTTCATATTATAATTTATGATTTTAGACTTCAGCGACAATCGTTTGATTTTTTACGCAGTTTCACTTGTTTTTTGCGTTTTAACGTTGAATAATGCTACAGAAAAGTTTATTAAAAGAGTTGTATTAAAGAAATACTCCAAAAGCACTGCCGGCCTTTCCAACTTGTGGTCATAACAGACGACTCAGATTGCCGTTGCCACACTCACGATGAAGCAAGTGATAGATATTCATGCCTACCTTTATCAGTCAAAAGATAAAAGTAAACAAGACCTTCTGATATTGGCTTGTTGTATGGGACAGAAACCAAAAAGAGGGATATCCAATATATAAATAGGAATCACAAATTTAAGCAAAGACTGACTGTATACAAAGAATTGTAAGAAATTTTGTTATCACTGAGGAGCTACTCAGGGAACGTAGAGGTGGCAATAGAGTGGGTCCAAAAAGGATAAAAAAGAAACTGCATCAAAAAATTTATAGAATCCATAACATGTAGAGTCTCATTACTATAGAAGCAAGACAATCGTGAGGGTCTACTTGCCATGTGACTTGAATTTGAAGACTTTCAGATTTAAGAATGAAATCTCAGCCTATGCATATGTAGCTTAGTTATTTTCAAAAGTATGTAAATATTAACTTCAACATCGCTTTTTGAACTTCGCTGACTGACTGTTGCTCCACTTGCTTGAGAACAAAGGAGCAGTTGAAAGTCGCAACTTCTTTAGCTGTTCAGTAAAAGTAAGCGACTGAGCATCGTGTTCATATCGCAAAAGCAAAAGTGTTTTTCAAATTCCTTAAAAATCCAAAACCCAACACAACTTACTTTTCGTTCGACTGCCAAAAAAACTTAATAGTGCCTAGACTGTCTGATCAAGCAGCATATTTCAGCCAACAAATGAACCATAATAATTTTACAGTTATTGCTGAAACTTCTACCGATAAACTAAGACCAATAAATGTGTTTTCTTACGTGTGGATTGTCGAAAAGATTCTAATACAATAGCGTCAGCTTTGCTTTAAAAAATTTTAATTTAGATGTCAACATAGAAACAGTACGTTTGCTCGGTGATGGTTGCGGCGGACAAAATAAAAATTTGAATGTGATGGCAATGCTGGTTTATAGAAGAATCGCGGAATCATTTAAAAAAATTGAATTTATTTTTCCGATTGTCAGTCATTCCTTTATTTCGCTTGATCGTGTTTTGGCCGTATAGAAAAAGTCATTAAAAAAATTGTGGAAATTAGTGGCTAGGACGAGTTAATCAGAAAGCATTCCACTGTGCGGAAAATCGGTATGGATTGGGATGTGTTTGAATGGAGGAAACAAACAAAACGAGTTATTAAGCTGCCTAATTCATGGCACTTTGAATTTAATAAAGCAAAGCGGTTTATTTTTTACAAAAAGGCACCAATGTTCTAGTCCAAGGGGAACCCAATTACCGAAATGACGTTGGAAAAGCTAAAAGCGTTTGTAAGAAAATTTTTTCTGTTTCTTCAATGGCTCCTAAGAAATTACCACTGGGAAGAAAATAAAGGGGGATAAAGGGACTAATAATTGTCTCCTTTCCAAAAACTGTGAAGAAAATTTGAGAAGCCTTCCTGAACTAAATTTTTACAAAGAACACTTGAAGACAGATTCTACCTCACCGAAGAAACCGTTGATTGTTTGCAGAATTGCCAAAATGCAGAAAATTACTGTTTAAACATTTTCTTTATATGACTAAAAATATTATTTTAAAAAGTTTTAAAATCTGTAAGTTTTATATTCATGAATAAATCCCTTATGGATTTTATTGAACTACAATGTTTTGTTACTATTTTATATATGTATTCGCAAAACTGATTGTTTGCAATAAACATTTTTTTTTCTAAAAATCTGTAAATTATTTAGGCTAGAAACTTCTAATTTCTATTGCTAAAAACTCATTAATAAAATTTTTTACGATGTGAGCTTAACACTACTCGGCCGTTAATCGTTTTTTTTTATTTCCCAAAAAATGACTTGCGAACAAAGAGCAAGTTCTGCAAATAATAATTGTAATGGACATTAAACACCGACTCTTTGAAGCCTTGTAACTCAGAAATAATTTAATTCTCAGGATTGGGGCAATGAGTACTTCTGAACAGGATGACCAAAGCTACATATCTGCAAAGTTTCAGCCAATTTAACTGAAACCACTTTTATACAGGGTGTGAGAAAAGAAACGGGACGGTCGAGTATTTCGCGAAATTTACACCCGACAAAAATCTACTGAACTCCCCCTGGTGCCGAGGACAACTTGAAAATCTTACATAGAAACAGATTATTACAGATTTGGATTCCCTGTGCAATAATAAGCACTTTATTATAGCAATTTTATTCGAGACAGTTTTTCGAATTGTTGATAGATGGCGCTATAATCGTAAAAAAGATTTATTCTGATACCCTAGGAAAAGTATAGAAAGAGTCTAGTATCTTGAGAAGTACACTGCTAAATGAAACGCTAAAAACACGTTTTTAATATTTTTCAAAAATCCGCACCCCCATCCACTGGAGGTGAGGCGGGATGCAGCTTTAAAATCTTAAATGGAAAACCCTAATTTTTATTGCTGATTAAGATTTTGCGTGAAAAAGAAAACAAGTGTTATCTGAATTTTTGTTTCGATCTGCGATAATTGCAGAAAAACAAGTACAGATGAGAACTCTGCAAACTAATCTTTATGGTAGTGAATAAGTTTTTAGGACATTATTAGTACTTACCTTTGGACATGGGGAATTACTCTCGGTGTCACTACTATCTCCAAATTTCCTTTTAAGTATACTACTTCGAGGAACTGCAAGTGGACTTGGTATCTCTCTGGAAAACGTCAATATATCTTCTTCGTTGAACGTTTCAGTTACTTCTGGAACGTTCTGCTTTTGTCCAACGTTGTTCATTAATCTTTTTATTCTTAAAGTCGACGGAGATGATGTACTTCCTATTTTCCTTTTAAGAATATGCTTTTGAGAGATAAATGTTTGGAATATATGTTGGATTTTAGAAGCTTTTTCTTGAATTGTTGTTGGTCCCTTAAATGTTTTACTGGAGGTGATATTTATTGTAGTGGACACTTGACCATTTTGGATAGGCGGTTCTTCGTTACGTTCTGTCTCAAGGGCAGAATTGAACTGTTCGATTTCTTCATTGTCTTTACTTTCACTTGTTTCTAAAGGAGTCATTTCAGCTTCGCTGGACGCATCTGCAGGATCAAATTCATCAGAAGAGTTTTCTTCTAAAAAAAAACATACTGCTAGTAATGCCTTTGGGACTTAATAGATTATCTGAAAAATCCCTGTCACTAATGCCATATGGTTATCCATAATAATTGCCACAGTCATAGAATAGTCAAAGAAATAAATAATACCAGACCACGGTTTACATAGACCAAGAAACTGATATTTCATTACAAGAGAAAGACTGTGAAAGCCTACTTTATTCTGTTAATACTGTTAAATAGAGGTGATGAATCTGGTGCCTGTATCTTCAAATTTCTGAATCTAGGATGCATGGTTATGACTCGGACAATATACGGTGCAATGGCAACCACTATTGCAGCAAGCAACACAAGAAGATTTATATATATACACCGGCATTTAGGCGGCACGCCCTTCCGGTAGGGTGTAACGCCGTTATTTGATAACATCTAGTACATACATTTAATTCAAGGTCAGGTTAGCTCATGTCTGAGAGAAGATGTGGTAAGGTCAAATGCACAAAAAAACTACGTAGTATGTCAAAATTTCAAACACAATTAGATAACTGAAATTATAATTTATCATTGGACACCACCACCCCTTGTTTATCCTCGTAGGGGAGGAGAGAGGATAAAAAAAAATAAGATATATAAAAAAAAATTACAGCGAAATTACACTTTATTCCTCAGTAATAAAAAGAAACATTAGTTATTATTTCCAAAGGATACTAAAATACCATTTCATAATTACATTATTATAAACAAAGCAACTTTCTATCTTTTTAAATCAAGAATTGGTTGATAAAAACAAATGAATTTATATATTATTCCCAAATTTCGAAATTCGTTTACATTTAAAATATTATAGTAGTTATTTATTAACTAGGCAACATAGAAAAGTTAAATATATTTATTAACTAGGCATAATAGAAAAGTTAAGTCTTTAAACAAAATTTAAAATATTTCACTATATTCTTATCTTTGTGAATCCATAAAAAATTCTCGCGTTCCTGATAGGGCTTAATAAAAAAAAAATAGGTACAACCTTATTTATCCAATCTCTGGGAACCAGGAAAAAAGGGATATACTCTGCTTCTTCTCATCCGTTGATGATTTCATCAAATAGTTACTAATAGGAATCCATTTATATTATAAGTAATTATTGGAAACCATATATAAGGAAGTATTGGACCATAGGAAACTGTCTCAGTTAACTTAACATACTCAATGAACTTTAACCTCCCGGAAAGAGTCTGAAAATAATTATTCATCTGAAATATAGACAAGAAAAGGCTTTTCTTTGTAGCTTACCTCTAACCTAGAGACTCACTTCGAAAACACGTCCTATCGGGTGGACTTTTGTAACAGGAAAGGAAGCGACGCTATTTCAACGGTTTTGAATTGGGGGCGTGATTGACAAGTTAATATCGTTCTCATCTATCGGATATGTTGAGAATTACCGTAGAAACCTTGAGTAGAATACAAGCAACTGGTAGATAGGTGGGGTTAGTAGTTTTATTTAAAAAAAAATAATCAAATTTATAATGAATTTTCTAAAACTTTTGAAACGGTTACAAGGGGTCTATGGAGGACTATCACGAAGCCGCAAGCTCTTATCTCTTGCCGTACTGCTCCACATAGGCCGATCAGACACCAGCATATTCTAGTCTAAGCCGCAGATTCATCTGGAATTTTAAACTGCTGCGTTAGTGCACTATCTAACCGACAACAAGAAGTTTTGCTTGTTTTAAAACAGTAAAAAAGTTTTAAAACAGTTATATTCTTCCGAGACGACCATGTAATTCGCAGCAAAATCAACCGGCTCCGAATACGGCCGTTCAAAAGCCGAGAAGATACGTAATACAATTAAAGAAACAGAGATATTAATACTCAAAATTAGTAACTATTATGCTCTCATTAGTAAGAAGTTGGCATGCCCAAATCATAGGAAAGTACAGCTTCAGAATGAGAAGCGAAAGAGGGGACAAATAATGAAAGAGAAATTTAAAAATATTATCAAAGCAGTAGAGTTATCCAAAGCAGTAGTTTTTGGAACCTGACGTTGTAAAATGTATTCAATTAGCACGCCTTCGATGGATAGGACATGTAATTAGGCGAGATGAAGATGCAATGATCAGAAAAATTTTCGACCGAAGAGGACCAGTCGGAAGACGATGCAGAGGAAGACCAAAACTTAGGTATCAAGATAACATAGAGGATGATCTAAAATCATTCGGAGTAAAAGCAGCGAGAAGAGTTGCCAGAGACAGGAGCGAATGGAAGATTATTCTGAAGAAGGCACAATTTTACTTTAAAATAAGTATATTTTGACGTTTCGATTTCGATTTTGTAAAGCGTTCTCAAAATACTTTAAGTAAGTAAAAACATTATAAATTAAACAAATTTTGTTTTTTTTTTTACTTGGTCATACATTTTTCTAATAATTTGATATTATCTGAATCATTCATATTGGCAATTCAGACATATATTATACATTTAAATGTAGATGACTTTAAAATGATATTGTCAATATTTTTGAGTTGCGTTCCTGGGACCACTTTATTGGAAGATAGTTTATTCGATTACATGAAATCAACTTTAAACTTAATACCCGTCAGAAATATTAGAAAATGAAGTATTGTGCCCAAGCTACTTTTAAGTTCAAATAATCTACGATTTATCTCCGCAGTTTCTTTCAAGTCGGAGCAGAGTTGCTGGATCTTCCATTTATGGTTTTACAAATGACTTCTTCTTCTTTGGGTGCCGTGTCCGTATTCAGACCTTGGCCGTCATCATGTTTACAATTTCCTGAAACCTTTCTCTGTCGGCTGCTGTGCGAAATAATTCTTCTACTGTGGAACCACAACATTGTCTAATATTACGCAGCCATGAAAGTTTCTTCCGACCAATCCATCTCTTTCCTTCCACTTTTCCTTGTATTATAAGGCGAAGTAGTATTACAAATGACTACGTTCAAAAAAAGGGTAGACAGTTGTGTTAATATCATCAATGCACCATACCGAATGTGAGGACATAGAATCTGATAAACCCGAAATCATTTGCATCTATAATCAAACAAAAGGCGGTGTGGATGCACTAGATAAAAAATGTACCACATATTCTACTAACCGGCTTTGGCCAATGACTATTTGTTTACAATATTGAATATTGCAGGTGCCCATGCACAAATTTTACATATATGTTATAAAAACAACCAAGCCATAGAGAGAAAAGCCTTTTACAAAATTCTTGCACAACAACTTGCAGAACCAGATCTCAGTATAAGACTGTACGATTTTCTTTTATCTAGGGAGCTTCGCATGGGTAGTTCGCATCAGTAGAATACTAAAGAAAGTTTTACCTGAAGCAGAGAGGGGAGAATTAATTAAATAAACAGAACCAAAAACGAAAGAGACGTGGTATCGGTGATCGAATGAATGACAAAAAAACAAAAATGTCGTGCAGAAAATGTTCCCGACCCATGTGCGGCGACTGCGGGGTATATGTTTGCAAGAAGTGCATTTAGAAAAATGTTACTTGTAAATAGTTCCCAGTTTAGTTAATAATAATATATTTTAATTAGAGTTTGTATATTTTAGTTTCTTGTTCTTTATATGAAACGAAAAAGTCAAGAAAGAAATAGTGATTTTATTTTTCACATTTCATTTGTAAGCAATTATGTTCTGCTGTCAGAAGACGTTCAAAAATAAGTCATGTTACATTTTTTTAGCCTTGGATATTATTAATGAAAAATAAATACAAAATGGGCTTACATGGTTTTATTCCAGCTTAAATGATTACAAATTATAACGAAATAATGAATTGTCTTTATTAATTCCACAAAAAAAAACTAAAAAAATGGGGTTTGGAAGACACCAGGATGCAGTTAGGTTAGGCAGAATAAACTACAACGCCAGTTGAGGGTTAAATTAAAGACCCTCATGTGAAATAAGCAAAAAAATAAGTATAATAAATTTTAAACATTATCTTTAAACACAAGTGACTTGAAAACTACTTACTCTATCGCATTGAGACACAATCATGATATTTACGTAAAATAACGAAGAATCAAAACAACATGCTGAAATAATTATTAATACAGTGTCGTGGTTTGTGGAGGGAAGGAAGTATCTATTCCTAGAGCACACCTCTGGTAACAGCGGAAAACTATCTGTTAAAAAATTCTAACAGTGATGTGTTAACTGTTTGTCAAATTTGAACAAAACATATTGGAAGGGTGTTAAAACAATGGTATAAAATTAGTTTAGAATATTTGTAATAGAACACTCTGTATCTCGGTAAGGAGGAACATTTTATGTGTTAGGTTCCATCTTCGTACTTTGTGCTCAGATTTTTCTAGTTACTATAATGGATCATTCTTAATAAAACAGCGTTTTCATGTGTACCGCAAGCGGGGCTGAAATATAAATAGCGACCACGGCTCATTGCAAAAGCAAAAACAGTTTTATTTTAATTATTTAAATGTAAAATAATCTTTGTAGGCAATGAATTTGGATCTGAAGATACTATTCTACAAAGCAAAATCATACTTTCATCTAACCTAATCTAAACTAATTTGTTTCCAGATTTATAGTCTGTAGTCTGGGATCACATCTTACTGACGGTTCGTCTATGACTGAGGCAGATATTACAGTTTTCAGATTTTAAAATATTGCAAATATTCCATTCTCTATTGTAAATATGATCAACATGAATCACATGTTCAATATGAAAATAAAATTTAGGATTCATCTTACCTTCGAAAGTGTCATCCTTCGGCACTTTGTTGACAAACTTTCCACTAATATCTATACCATCAATATCATCATCTATTTCTTCACTGGCATTATTCATCTCTGCATGCTCTAGAGTTTTTATTTCTTCTTCAAGTACTTCTAGAAATTCTAGGGGTTTAGCAATAGGCACCTCTACTGAAATTTCTTCTTCGGAATTACTTCTGGAAGTTATAGGGGAAATATTCATCGTATTATCCAATAATTCATTTGTCCTATTTGGTGTTTCAGCTGTAACTGGAGATGTTGGAATTTTTTGAGATTTTTCAGGTGTGCTTGGGGGAGTATTAGACTCTGTACTTTGGGACGACGCTAAAAAATGAGTCAATTTTCAGTATATTATTAAATATTGGTTGCAAATGTTTGTTTTCTAAATTAAAAAGATGCAGGGATCATGACAAAATATAATTTAAACAAGATCGAATATTATGTAAAAAAGATTTTTTTAAAGATAGCTTTCCCTTTGTAATAATAGATTATTATATATAAAAAAAGTGTAGTTGTGTACCCCACAGTGTCCCAATTGTGTGGTACTGTTTTCTCAAAATGTTTAGAAGATTTAAAAACATAAATTGATTTAGTGAATTCCTGCGACTATACTGTATGGCGACTGACTAGGAGAAAAATAATGAACATTACTTTATTTATATCGTTTCAGCTCAATATGAGTATTATTTGTTAAGCTAACCTTTTATCTTTTTTTGCAACCAAAAAATATCAATTCCTAAGATTAATGCATTTATACAAACCACCATTTTAACGGTGATTACATAAGATTTCTTTTAAATATGACCAGAAAAATATATTAAACAAAAATTCTTCGATTTTATTAATGTTTTTTGAATTTCATTTGTTGAAAAAATCATAATTTGTATTTTAGATGTCATTTCGATATGATATTTATTTCTGTACAAAAACCTAATTAGAATATTTACCAAAAATTCATACTTTTTGACTTATAATTATAAATCAAATAATTATAATATACTATAATTATCTATGGATATAATATAGTATAATTATATTGGACACATTGCTAGAAGAACAGGCACGATGGAAAAACTGATAGTCGAGGGTAAAGTTGAAGAAAAAAGACCTAGGGGAAGATATCCAGGCCGTTGGGTAGATCAAACAAGAATATTGATTAACCAAGGGTTACATGAAGCCGAACAACTAGCCCAGGATAGAGAAGGATGGAGGGAAATCGTAAAAAAACTGTGAAGGCCTAATGGTGTCACCACATCCCAAAAGGGATTAGTACTGAAGAGGAGGATAATTATATAGAGATGATACGAAATACTAGGAACAAGTATTTGGTAATAGGTATGAGCATATAACGTAACGTAACAGTTACCGGTTTTCTAAAATACTAGTTCCAGTTCCATCTAGATTTGTTCAACGACACGACGCGACACAGAATGTATCAAGCCTGGTAACTGTTACTGGTACTGTTACTGTTGACAACACAATAACGCCGATACTCGATATCTACGCTGCGCTTTGTTACCGATATTTTGGTATTGATATTAGGAATACTTTTGAATACCGATACGCACAGGGATCAGTTGCATTTTTTTGGGTAGGTAATATTTCTAGTTTGTAGGTACTTAGGATTGGCGGTTCGGACGTCGGGATTATTACGGTGGTGTATGCAAGATGTGAAATTAAACGTATTAAATCTGTCATAATATTGGTTCCTTGTTTTTACTATATTATTCTAGAAGTATTTTAATTTAATTTTGTTTGAGTGTAATACATATTTCTTATGACACTAAAATAAAAGAGTATATAAATTTTCTGCGTGTGCAAATAACTTTTTAATATATTGAAAATTTAAAAAAAGCAATTAAACATTACATTTGATATGGGATAATAGTACCCATATAACATTATAAGCGATACTTATTGATGCCTTTTGTTTATTGATGTAAAACATATTTATTTAAATAAAAATGTAATTCTTAAAATATGCATATTATTTACTAAAATAAACTAGATAAGTGTATCTAACACAAAAATAAAAAAAATGAATCGTTTAAAAAAATAACAAAATAAAAAATATAACTTATATGTAAAAAATTAGAAAAAATTTGAATTAACACTTAAAAATAATAATTGCTTTAATTTATTGGCTTTCAAGCGATTTCGTTTTTCCGTTAACAATTGCTCTCCTTACAGACTGCGACCTGCGTCTGGAATAGACGAGGAGTACAAATGTAAAAAATACTAGGTTAAGAAGTAACTAGTATTTGGAACAGGTACGAACATGGAACCGGAACTTAACGTAACTGTTACCGAAAAATATTCATTTGTATCATCTGTATAATTATATATTATAATATAAATAATACAGTATTATACAGAAAATTCTGCGGCAGGAAGTTCTCATCATTATGGCCGATTTTAATGCCAAGATTGGAGCTGAAGATAAGTACATTGGAGCACATGGACTTGGAATCAAAAACGAGAGGAGACCTCCTAGAAAAATTCGCAAAAGACCTAGTTGATTAGATTAGATTAAATTAGAAATTAGAATTAGATAGAAGAGAATTAGTAGATTCGAAAAAGAACTAGTTGTCACCAACTCATTCTTCCAATTACCACCTCTCAAGCTGTACGGGCGGAAACCCCCTCAAAATAGTTAGAGAAAGTTAGAGGTTAGGAAAATAGTTAGAAATCTTTACTGGAATCAGACAGCAAATCTCAGAATTGAAGGTGAACACACTGACTATGTGAAAATCATGCGAAGAGTTAGGCAAGGCTGTATTTTGTCTCCTCTAATTTTCAATCTGTACTCTGAAAGAATTTTTTCGAAGCTTTGCACGAAACTGAAAAAGGTATTCTACTAAATGGTTAAACAACATCTGATATGCAGATAACACCATAGTATTTGCAGACTTAGAAGACCTACAAGTTCTTATGAACAAAATCACGTATTACAGTCAACAATATGGGCTCAATATAAACGTTAAGAAGACAAAGCTTATAATAATTAGCAAGAGAAGGATAACAGAAGGTCAACTCTACGTCAATCCCCTGTAGAAAGAGTGACGCACTACAACTATCTCGGCACCATAATAAATGAAGAATGGACCAGCAACCAGAAGATTAGAGCATGCATAGAAAAGGCTAGATCCACCTTCAATTGTATGGGGGCCTTCTTCAAGAGTGACAACCTCTCTCTTGATACAAAAGTAAGAATGCTGTGATGCTACGTCTTCTCTGTCCTTTTTTATGGTGTTGAATCGTGGACCTTGAACGAAGATATGTACAGAAAACTGGAAGCATTTAAGATGCGGCTATATCGGAGAATGCTTAAGATCCCGTGGACTGAGCTAGTCACAAATAAGGAGGTCCTCAGAAGAATGAATAAGAACCGAGAGGTACTGACAACCATCAACTCTCAAAAGTTAAAGTTCTTCGGACATATTATGTCAAATGAATCCAGATATGCTCTCCTTCAAACCGTCCTGCAAGGAAAAATATTTGGAAAACGAGATCCAGGAAGAAGAACATCTTGGTTAAAGAACCTCAGAATCTGGTTCAATACAACATCTGTGCAGCTTTTCCGCGCTGCTGCAGATAAGATAAGGATTGCCATGATGATCGCCAACATTCGTAACGGATAGGCACATCAAGAAGAAGAATATATTATAATTATAATTGAAACGTCAATAAACTTATTTTAATCTTCAATTGTGAATTATTCCCATTAAAATAGTATACTTTAAAATGCCACAAGAACATGGCTTCAGAACAATTTTGAGTTATGGTCAAACAAACAAGATTTATTACGATCTCGAAAACACAAGGCTTTATTTGGTAGAACATCGTTGAACATTCAAATTCAAATTGAAATCATATTCAATAGCCTATTAAGGGTTATGTTATTTGTTCTTGCTTGTTTTTATTTTTCGAAATTCTGACCTGTATTTTAACCGTACCAAGAAGTGATTGGATCGACAACGTGCTCCTCTTGGCTTTTACAAGGTGTTTGTGTCAACCCTGTTATTTATCAAGTTCTACTCAATTTAATTGGCAATTGTTCCACCAACATAATATTTGTTACTTTATGTATATTTAGCTGTGTAAAGAATGTCAAACACCACTTACACTTCAAAATATTTACTTATCTTAAAAATGTTTTTAAATAAAAAAATATTACAATTTCAAAATACCTCAAAAATAATTTTTTTAGAAAATAAATTAAATCATAACACATTTAAGGGTTAATAAACTTCGATTAGACATCAGCTAGCTTGGGGGATTAATGATGCCGGTACAAGAACTATTAATCATTTAATTTACATGGTACCGTTAGACAATTGATTGTGGGTAAGTCTTTTTTATTTCTTTTTGCCTATTTAATATGGACTCACACAGGCAACATATTCATGATTTAAATAATTAATTAAATGCCCATTACGTTGTATACTGTCCAAGAAAAAGTGCAACTTGTAACAAGGTACTTTCTGGGTCACTCGATACGCGAAGTAATTAATTTATTTATTGTTGCCTTCGAAAATAGACCTCCACCAAGTGTTATAGTTAAAAATACCATTAACCATTTTCAAACTTCGGGATGTGTAAACAGTCGTAAAAAGTGTCATGAAGGTAATGAAACACGTGTTAGACCTGTCGATGAGGAGCAACAAAACAGAGATATTGATATTTGTGCTTTTTTGGAAGGTCGTAAACCCTGCAATAGTGTACAAATAGCTAGGAAAGTTAATGTGAATGCTCGAACTGTGCAGCGAGTTCTCAAAAGGAATGGTATCACTGTTTTAAGATACAACCAACACAAGAACTGTTTCCGAAATATAGCTTTGGGCGGATGGAGTTTTGTGAATTTAGGTCACAATTTATGTGATAAACAGAATAATGTACACTTTTTAAAACATATTTTATTTTCTAACGAATCTTCATTTTCATTACAAAAAAAAAACAAAATCCATTCGTTGCAAGGTATTCTTCAGCAAAGTTAAATGTTTCGACTGGGATGTTAGGCGACCATATTGACGGTTCTTTTTTTATCGATGGAGACCTAAACGGGCTCAAATATTTACACAACTTTTACAGAATGAAATCATTCCGGCAGTTCGAAGCCTTCCCGTTAATTTTCAGGAGGTTCCAACAGGAGTTGGAATATTTGAGCCCTTAAATCATTAATCTGCTTTACTAAATTTGATTTTTTGTTAGGTACATTTTAAGAAGTTTGTAGGTTCATAATTTAAGAGAAGACTCGAGTCTTCTTACAAACTCTCTCTGATGATGGGTAGATCCAGAAACACATGTTAGGGAGTGGTAAGAGACTCAAATTAAATCGAAACGCAACCTTCTTCGTATATTTATCGTCCTTACTCGACGCAATGAGTACAAGAATGATGGTAATTTATATGGATAAATTGTTGGTGCATAGTGGAGTATAAATATTCCCAGCATCGCTCTGAATGGCTTAATTAGTCTTGGGTATACAGTTTAATTTAATTGCTATCGATAGATTTAACTCCTTCTTAGATATTTATTGTGACAGTTTAGAATATTTTTCTGATCTATAGATTAAATAATTCACTAATTTCACAAATTTTAAACATTGTGAAACTATGGCTGAAAATCGGCAAAAATGTATTGAAATGTGTATCTGAATCTAGAGGAATAATATGAGGGCGCTAACGTCAAACTTTGACGTAAGCGCCCCTTATGGATATTTTTTCAACTGACATGGCATGTGATCTATTTATCCTGCAGTGTTTGAGGATAAAAAATATGAATATAAAAAATATGACCTAGAATAACCAAGAATAAAAAAGTCATTAAAAATAAAACTTACCAAGTATATCTTCAACTGAATTAAGTGACACGGGAGATGCCAATCGGTCTTGCATTTCCTTGTTATCTGAAAGCGTTTCCTTTGAACCGCAAACTGACATGGTATCCATCTGACACATAATTAGTTCAGATTCAGACAATTTAGGCTTTTGAGGAGGTTCTGGAGATTCGATTAGTGCTTCTACAGGAACCTCCCTGGCTGTTTGTGTTAGAGTGCTATCTGTCATCACTGAAATTTTAGAAACTGTATCTTCCGTTTGAGTTGAATCTTGAGAACTATTTTGAGTGAGTGTAGTATCTTGGGTGGTATTAATGTCCTTAACACATTCGTCTTCCGTTTTCTCGGGTATTTTCATGGCATAACTATGTACATTATCAGCATCAATAATTAAATTTAATGTATTTGGAGAATTATTCTCTGAAATATCTACTTTACATTCTAAATGAGAACCGGATTTAGTAATACTTAGTCTAATCGGCTTCTTTTTGGACGAATTTAGTAAAGGAACAATTTCAGCAAATGACTCTTGAGAACTCTCAATAATATCATCATTTTCATCATCTGTGGGTGCTTTACGCTTTTGTCCTCTACCCTCAGTTGGCTGTGTCATTCCTAACGTTTTTTGTGGAGTTTTATTAACAGATTCGTTTGTTTTTGCAAATTCTTTACCTGAATATTGTTCACTAAGTTTTCTGAATAGGTTCTTTATATGAGAAGATTCAAGTTTCGACATCTTATTTTCGCCCTCCGGAGTTTTTTCAGTTTTTTTCATAGATTCCTGTCGTTTTTTTGCTAATTTTTCGCTGCTGGTTGTAGGCGACTCTAACTTTTCGAAAATTTTTGCTGTTCTCGTTTTCTCTTCGGGACTTTTTTTGGGTCGCCCTCTTTTTCTCTTTTCTGGAGTTTCATTTGGTACATTGCTTGGACTAGCTGCTACTGGACTGATTTTTTTTTCCTCGGGCTGAAGCTCTAACGGATGTTTTCTCGGTCGACCTACAGTTCTCTTTTCTGGAGTTTCATTTGGTATATTGCTTGGACTAGCTGCTACTGGACTGATTTTTTTTTCTTCGGGCTGAAGCTCTAACGGATGTTTTCTCGGTCGACCTACAGACCTCTTTCCGATAGGAGAAATGTTGGTTTTTTGCGGATTTTCCGGAGTTTTAGCAAATTTATCTTTTGTCTTTCCTTCCATATGTTCAGATATTCTAGCATGTTTATGCTTTTTCTTTTGTTCCATATTTTCAGGCATTTTATTAGCAGATTTATCTTTTGTCTTTCCTTCCATATGTTCAAATATTCTAGCATGTTTATCCTTTTTCTTTTGTTCCATATTTTCAGGCATTTTATTAGCAGATTTATCTTTTGTCTTTCCTTCCATATGTTCAGATATTCTAGCATGTTTATCCTTTTTCTTTTGTTCCATATTTTCATGCATTTTATTAGCAGATTTATCTTTTGCCATTTCTTCCATATGTTCAGACATTTTGGTAGATTTATCTTTTTTCTTTTCTTCTACATTTTCTGGCATTTTAGGCGATTGATCTTTTCTGTTTTCTTGCTGTTTTTCAGGCATTTTAGCAGATTTATCTTTTGTCTTTTCTTCTACATTTTCAGACGTGGAAATATCTTTTTTCATATCATTCGTATTTTCCAGCATGTTTTTGGTAACTTTGTGTTTTTTCTTATCTTTCAAATTTTCGGATATATCAGCGGATTTGTTTTTTTCATGGTCTGTCGTATTTTCAGATATTTGAACTGAGATATAATTTGTCTTTACTTCCGTGTTTTCAAATTTTTTTTTAGATTTATCTATATCCATATCTTCCGTAGTTGTAGACATCTTGGCAGCTTTACCTTTTTTCTTTTCTGGTATATTTTCAGATAGTTGGACAGCTATATCTTTGTTGTTTTCTTGTATATCTTCAGAAATAGTGTTGTTTTTTTCCTTTTCTTCTATATTTTCAAGCATTTTAACACAATTGTCTTTTTCTTCCGAATTTTTAGATATTTTAACAGGCTTATCTACTTTGTTTTCGGTATCACCGATTTTTTTCTTGGGTTTCTTCTCGCGTGTTCTGCGAGGAGACTCGACAAATTTCTCGGCTCCAACTATATCCATCTTTAACCTTTCTAATTCACTTCGCTTTCTTCGTTCTAATGCATTTTCTGAATTACCATGTGATTTTCTTCTAGAATAGCCCTTAAAATATTTAATTCCTTGTATATCTTCCTCGTCTTCTTTACAATCTGATCCAATAATGTCAGTTTCTGTTGATTTTTTCATATCTTCTGTAGATTCTGATTTTTTACAATCTGATTCAATAATGTCAGTTTCTATTGATTTTTTAATATCTTCTGTAGATTCTGATTTGTTACAATCTGATTCAATAATGTCAGTTTCTATTGATTTTTTAACATCTTCTGTAGATTCTGATTTAAAAAGATCATTAGAAATTGTTTCTTTAGTAAATGTTTCAAAATTTAAATCGGGAAGATTTTGGTCCAGAGGTATAACAGTTGTTTCAGGTTTGTTATTTTCTGTATCAATATTGGCATTTTCAGTATTGATTTCGTCATTAACAACTTTAGGGGTATCAGGGAACATGTCGCTTTCTGAATTTAAAGTTTCTGGAATTGACGTAACAGAAACTGGAACGGGATTATCTTTTTTCTCTTCACTTTCACACTCTGGGTTGGTAGGTTCGCGAGAATTTGATTTTGAACTAAATATGTCTTGGCTTATACTTTGCGATAAGTCTTGGTATAGAGCCGGAATATCATCGCGTCTAGTCTTTAACTTTTCTTTCTGGTGCTCGTTCAATTTATTTACTTGTAATTTAACTTCAGAATTTATTGGAACAAAATCTGAGGAATTTTCTTCACTGATAGGCTTTGTTTCTGTTTGGTGTACTTTTACGACGTTGACAGCGTTTTTCTTGTTTGAAATTGGAGTATTATTTAGCTGGCTGCCTTTAAGTTTATGTGGAGACATCGTTTCAATGTCCTTTCCAAAAAGTCTTAATGTGCCTGATTTGTGGGGACTTCTAGGAGAATCCTTACCCATGCGAGCAATACGCGCTGATCTTCCAGTTGGTATAATAAAAGTCTTTTTTTCATCTTCTTTGTCTTTGTCTTTAACACCATCGGTAAATAACAGTAAGCATTTGGACATTTCTTTACTGGCGTAACTGTTCGCATCGATTTCTTTATCAATCAATTCCACTAATACGTTTTTCAGATGGAATGCAAATTGGGTTTGAAGAATCGCAGTGCAATTTTTGTAAAATATAACAAACGGATCAATTAACTTATAATCAGAATGAATACGAAGTATGTGTTCTATGCAACTACACAAAAATTTAATAAGTTCTTCATTGTGTTCAGAAGTGAAACATTCTAAAGAAGATTCAAAGTACTGCATTACGAGAGATGCTAACTTTTGTTGGTCGTCTGAATTTAAATTTGGCAGTTGTAGAATTGAAGATACCACATCCATAAGTTTCGTAACTGAAAAATAAAGATAATATACTTATGATTATTTCGTCACACTTATTTTTTAATTATTAAAATGGAATATAATATAAAGTAGGACTACCTGGGAGGTTTGCGATTTATCTAGACGTCGATAGATGGCGTAATATAATGTAGGATAATATGAATCCATATTTAAACCGAGTTATTTAAAGGCTATATTGGTAATTTAATAATAATGTGAAATATGACTGCTGACAAATTTGAATTGTTCTACTGGTTTCATATATAACCCGTTTCGCAGACGACACTAGACTTCTAGCCTCTACTCCAGAAAAATTACCAACTTTAAAAAAAACTCAACGTAGAAATTGCTAAGTTTGGACTCATGGTTAATAACAACAAAACCAAAATCATGGTTATTGATCGCCAACAACAGGTTCCTGAAATCCCAACTATTACGGGATGTGAAGAAGTCTGAGTGGAAATAATGGAGAAAATAAAGAATGGAAATAATTGCTTCGAATAGACTACCAAGTCTGACGTCACAATGGGCAGGACTTAGAAAACCATTCTAAACAATTTTATTTTGTGTGCATTTGTTCTATAAGAAGTTGGAAATATTGGTTAATAATTGTTTGAACAGTCAATAAGGACTTTTGCTTATTAACATTCATTCTATGCAATTGGTATTATTTGTTGTTCGTGAATTTGTGAGGTAAGAATATCAAATTAAAGATATTTACACTTAATGTTCATATGTTATTTTTTAATTAAAACTTTAATTTTTTTTACTGTATTTCAAGGTATTTTGTTATTTTTATCAGGGGTATTTCAAAATAAATCAATAGATCGTTGAATTTATTTACGAAGTTGAAAAATATTTAAATTAATGTTTTACTCTTTTTTCGTCGACAGTAATTTTATCCTGTAAATGACCAAAGATATCCGTTTTCTCGTAGTTTAAGTTGTAATATAACATTATGTGGATAGCTTTCTATCAAATTGCTATAATCAGTGTTTAAAAAAATGTTTTTAAATGTTGTTATAGTTTTTGAGGTCATTTTTTTTTAGATCTGGGCATATAATGGCTAGTAAACTTTTCAGTAATGACAACAAAACTACTATTAACTATTTAAACTACGAGAAAACGAATATAGCTTAGTATTTTAAGGAATAAAATCACTAGCACTTACAAAAGAATAATACTTGAAATAAATAGTAAAAATAATTAAAGCTTTATTCAAACAATAACATAACCTTAAAACTTGAACATTTATAGTAAATATCTTAATACTTTGATATTCTTACCTCACGAATTCAGGAACAACAAATAATACAAATCACACAGAATGAATGTTCATAACCAAAAGTTCTTATTCAAACAATTAAATTAAAATTAATTTTTTTTTTTTTAATTAACAACCAACATGGAAGAAATACACACAAATTAGAAATGTTTGGAAAGGTTTTTAAAAGTACGTCATTCCATAGACGGTTCGCCGTACAAATATTTCGGTTGTAGATAAAATCAAACCCAATCAACGTCTCTCTAATACAGTTAAAAATAGTGCAAGCACTCCTGACCGCGGCGCAGTAGACAAAATTTGGTTTAGTCCCCACTTCCATGCGAAACGCATTGTACTATGCACTATATAATTCCACTTACAATAGAACCTTTCTGCCTTTACGTGAATATTGACCCCGCCTTCGCGCAGCTCCATGGTCAGGTATGTTTGCACTATCTTTAACTCTGGAATTTTAAAGTTCTTTGGTCATATTAATCGAATTAATCACAAAATGGAGCGGTTGGTGGATCAAGCAGACATTACGAAAAAAACTTCTCAACACACAGTATACTGAGGCAGAACATGTAACAGACCACCGCGAGCAGTGGAGAAATATCATTAGATAAATATCTGAGCTGCTGAAGCTCAATGATGAACCACAACACATCTGCTACGATATTATTGACTACGATGATGACTGGTTTCAATGACGTACTGTAATTACAGTTCAGTAAAATTTATTCCATATAGAAAAGTCCCTTGAGGAAAAAGATTAATTAAAAATCTAGAATGTCCTAGACGCCATCGAAAATATCTCTTAAGGTTTGGAATGTTAGAAAATGTATGAGGACATGAAACCAAATCTCTTCAAGAGTAGTAGTAATTGAGTCTTTGAATAGTTCGAATCATTCAGTTTGAGTTGTTAACAAGTATGGTAATATTTTTTACTGGTCAAAAAACAGAATATAAAGTAAAACATGTCTAATATCAAGCAGAGTGAATTAAGTACACTTCCAATACACTTCTTTGAGTATTTTAAGAACGGTTCAGGGGATGGAAATCGAAAATTAAAATTATTATTTACTCCCATTGGATATAGTAGATATCAAGGAAATAAGAAATTACAAAGGCATTGCAAAGGAAATCTAAACAAATAATAGAAGAAAATAACGGCAAGAATATTTTAAGAAACATGCAAAAACTGAATAAATGAAATCAATAAACTAAAAAATAGGACAGAGGACACAACTACAAATAAGGAAGAACTACTAACAAAAGGTAAAGAATTCCACACAGACTTCTACAGACTTAGCGAGACAGAAAAAACTGAACAAAGTCCAGTCACTGCACAAATTTGACTATTCAACCAATGATCATATTAATGCCTTTTATAAAAATATCAAAAATCACAGAGACTTTAGGAAAATCAAAAATAATAATAGAATAATAATCAGGTGAATATGAAATATAATAGCAGAAGTAATAAAGCATAGAAAACAATAAATTACTTGAAAAAATTAAAATACTTTCCAACTTCTGTCTTCACAATTATAATATCGCAAGACAACAAAACAAAGCCTCAATTATTTTACTTAATACAAAGAGGGATCAGAAAAGTTTAGAAAATTATTGAACAATTAGTTTTTTAAGCTACGTCTGAAGTTGTTACCAGAAAAATAGTTATGGTGGACTCGGAACTCAGCTAGATAATTTAAACCAAAAGTAACCAAATTCAGTTTATCCACATTAAGTGAAGAACAAGTATTCTCGGACATCCACAGGACCTTATTAATCATTAAAATTTTAAACTACATAGATTATTGTCTTACAGTATTTTATCAATATTGCTCGAATTAAAATAAAAAAGTTATGATTTTAAATAGCAAAGATATATTTCTAATTTCTTATAACTCTATTCAGAATTACTGTCGCACATTATATTACTGTCATCACTAGTATTGTCTACAGTTATAATTAAGTTAGTTAATATTAGCAAATATTTAGCGTATTCGTTTTCCAAACCCATTACGTATTCGATGACATTTTTATAACTTGTTGCAGTAAGGTTTTTTACTAATTCTACTGGATTTATCATAATCATCATTCTGGCTTTGCAAACCAGCGTGGGTTCTAGCTTCCTCAAGAATTTCTCGCATGTATTCCCATATTTCTCATGTCTTACGTTATCACGTTATCAAGGAACCTTGTTCTGGGCCTTCCTCTTCTTCTCTGATCAATGGGTCTATCAAGAAGAGTTTTTCGAGCTGGGTCATTTTGTTCCATCCGCATTACATGCCCTATCCACCTCATACGTCCTATCTTAACATGTTTCACAATATCTGGTTCCTGATATATTCTATAAAGTTCGAAGTTGTATCGTCTGCTCCACACTCCATTGTCATTCATTAATTGCTGAAGAAGTAAAAAACCTTACAACAAATTGTAAAAATGTTTTCATTACTTTTTGTTATAGTTCTGGCCCATATGTTAGGACTGGGCGTATTATTGTTTTGTACAGTTTTATTTTGTATTTCTCGATATAATTAAGGATTTGAGGAGATTGAGCCCAAACTAGCATCTGTAGACTGTGCAAATTCTGCGGTAGTATTATTTTTAGTGTTAAGAAGCGCTCCCAGGTATACAAATTCGTTCACTGCTTCGATGACGTCGTTTTTTGTAACAAAGAATTGGTGAAAGAACGCGATCTTGATACAGATGCCTATTTAGCTAGACTAATGGGTCCACATCCCGATTTACCTCCATTGCCACCAGAGATAAAGGTAGGTACTTTACCTACACCACTAATGACTCCCCCCCCCCCGAGACGACCAGGAGGCATACCAGGTTGGGATTCACCTGAACGGCTTTTACCACCTACGCCTCCCATTCATCTAATGCCCGTATCTACTCAAATTCTTGACTGGGGAGAACCTGCTGATTTATACGAAACTTTTGAAGAACCTGAAACTCCTCCATTTACAGCACCGGATGTTACTGGAAAAGATATATTTGATTTTCCTATGCCCGATTTTCCAGCTTCACCTCCACGTACAATGGCAGGTCCTGATTTTCCATCTACACCGCCACGTCCTATACCTAGACCTAAATGGATGGAAACGTCCCCTTCTCCTGCGGTGACTCGAAAAATGAGGGAAGTGGTCGTAGGATGTGTGGTTGCGTGCTTATTTTCATATAATTCGTTTTGTTGGTGTTTATTATTCAACCCTTTTTGTAGCTTACTTACTTACTTACTTCGTGGCGTTACAACCCTTCGTGGGTTTTAGCCGACTCGACAACATGCCTCCACTGTTTTCTGTCTTGAGCAAACTGCATCCAATTCCCACGTCCATAGTGCTCAGGTCTTTTGCTATATTATCTCGCCACCGGAGACGAGGGCGTCCGCGTGGTCTCCTTCCAGTTGGGACTTCCTCCCAAACTAGTCTTACTGTTCGTTCGTCAGAATGTCTTCTGAGGTGTCCTGTCCATTGGAGTCTTCTGGACTTTATGTCTTTTATGATGTTGGCGTCTGGGTAAAGTTCTTCGAGCTCTTTGTTAGTTTTTATCCTATATTGTCCTGATGCTTCATCCAGCACAGGACCAAAGATCTTCCTTAGGATTTTTCTTTCCCAAACACATAGTCTCTCTTCGTTTGCCTTTGTTATCGTCTACGTTTCGCTTCCATACATCACAACGGGTCGTATGATTGTTTTATAGACCTGTATCTTCGTACGTCTTGTTAGTTGTTTCGATTTTATAAGGTTTTGGAGGGGAAAAAGACATCTGTTGCCGGCCTAAATCCTGTTGTTTATTTTTTGTGATCAGTTATTGCCTTCAGTTATTGTTGTTCCAAGATACTTGAATTCTCTAACGCGCTCAAAGTTAAAGTCATCGATGGTGATGTTCTGACCGATTCTGTCTCTGCTTCGGTGATTGCGGCTCATATACATATATTTCGTCGTGTTTTCGTTGATTTGGAGCCCCATCTTCTCTGCTTCCTTCTCGAACCTCACGAAGTCTCCTTCATCCTTAATCGTGTGTTTCCTATTAGATCGATATCGTCTGCAAATGCCAGTAGTAAGTTTGGTCCTTCTCGATGAAATACTGTATTCGGTTTTTCGATTCTTGCACTTCTGATTATGTGCTCCAGAGCTAAGTTGAAGAGTTGTGGTGAAAGTGCATCTCTTTGTTTTAGTCCATTGTTTATTTCAAATGCCTCCAATTTGTTTTGGAGTAATTTGAGTATTGTTGTCCAACTCTCACCTTACATCGTAACCGTTCCATACACATCCGTATCAACCTGACTAGTTTTTTTGGAAAGCCAAGTTCCTGCATCGCTGTCCACAGTCTGTCCCTGCATACTCTAACAAATGCTTGTTTAAAATCTATGAACATCTAATGAAGCTCACGATCAAACTCCCAGCATTTTTCCATTATCTGTTTTATTGTGAATATCTGGTCAATAGTAGAGCGGCCCGGTCTAAATCCGCATTGATAATCTCCAACGATTTCTTCTGTGTATATTTTGGTTCTTTCTAGCAGGATGTTTGCAAGGATTTTGTAGGTGGTGTTTAGGAGTGTTATTCCCCTGTAGTTAATACATTGCTTTTTGTTTCCTTTTTTGTGTATTGGTACAATAACAACTTCTTCTTTTTTTGTAGCTCCTTCTTGTAATGCTACATACGACTCTCGTACAGCGTTTTCCGTTCTCCCAACAATATTGATATCATGCGCATAGGCAAGGATTTGCCAAAAATGGTTATGATTTGTGACATACGTATTACTTTTTCCGGAGCCAGATTAAACAGTATATAGGAGAGCGGGTCTCCCTCCCTGGCGCAGCCCGTTATTTGTTTTAAAAGGTTCAGACAGTTCCACCTGAATTCGTACTCTACATTCAACTTTTTCAACAGTTAGTTTTGTTAAATTTATCAACTGATTTGGTATTCCAAGCTCTTTTCATTGCTTTGAACATTTCCCTTCGATTCACAGAGTTGTAGGCTGCTTTGTAGTCTATAAATATGTGATGAGTATATATGCCATATTCAGTGTTTTTTCTAAAATTTGTCTCAGGATTGCAATCTCATGAACTGTCGATTTACCACCTCTGAAACCAGCCTGGTATATTCCTACTATACGTTCTGCATATGATGCCATGCGGTGACATAGAACTGTGGAAAATATTTTATAGGCTGTATTTAGAAGCGTAATTCCTCTGTGCTTAGAACATTCAAAGATATCTCCTTTTTTGTGTATGGTGAAAGTATTCCAATATTCCACTCATTGGGGAGCGATTTCTGTGTCCTCATCTCTTTCGTCTTTCAGGTTTTCTTCTATTGGATTTAATATTCAAAAATAAAGGTAGTCTAAGCACGGTATGGCCATTATTGAGAGCACAGTCATTAACAACATATTTCTTTTGAAATTGCTTACACTTTGAGTAACCTCTATAATTGCTTTTCAATATATGGCTCTTCAAAATACAAATCTTTCTCATATAGAAATTTTTGGATTTGGGATTTGTTCCAAGTAGAATTCGGTATTTTTTAATTAATCTGGAATGGTATAAAGCGTTATCCATGACAATTACGCTGTTTTTGGCCACTTTTGGGAGAAGAATTTTTTCTAACCAGGACTCAAAAAACTGCAGTCCACATCATCGTGATAGTCCAATGGATTCATCCATTTTCTCCACCGCAGTGTAAAATAATAATTATTTGACGTTTATTATATTTTTTTTTAAGTTGCCATGCGTATCATACCAGGTTTCATGCAAATATACAACGTTTCGTTCAACTTTTATATACTCCATAATATTTCGAATATACTCGTTTCGCAAAGAAATTAATTTGCTGCTTTCCATGAATGTTTGACGTTTATCTGTAGTTCTATATTTAAAATTATTAGTTGTAAGGAAAACGCGAAGTGTTGTTGCCGAAAAAAAAACGATATCTTTTCGAATTAGTTTCAATTGTGGTAAAAATCTTGGCTGCGGATGCATACATTTTGTATATTGTTATACTTTTAGGTTGAATCGAGTGGCTTTCCATTTTTCGGACCTTTCCACTATCTTTTCTCTTTCTCTTTGCTTGATGTAGATGTCCCTCCTATAATGGCACATACGGTTTATTTTGACATTTTTTTTAAATAGTTTCTGTAATGGCCTCGACTTTAGTAAGTTCAGAGCACATACCTTCATACACATTTTTCACTATACCTTTGGCATCTTTAGAGAACTTTAAGGTTTGTTCAGCACGCAATATTTGTACGGTCCGGAAACCTTCACGAAATTACTTGTACCGTTTTTAATGCGCATATTCATCATTTGTATCGTCTGATGACGATAATTTGGAAACTGATGTTGGAACGATTTTCTGACAACTGATATAATTTGGTGACAATCTACCTAAATAATTCTGATTTTTCACCCTAGGTTCGGCTAATAGCTCCAAATCATCCTCATTACTATAATAATCAGAAAAATCACCAATTCCTTCGTCGTCAGTCATATTTATTAAGTTATAAATAACGAAAAACAAATATATAAATAAATAACAAGTCTCTCATAAGAATCTGATAAAATAATTAACCTAACTTCTTCTTTTCTACGAACAAATTTACAGTTTTAATATAAAATCCAAGTTAATCTAGGCCCAACAAATTTAAAGAAGTGGAATAAAATTCTAATGAGCAAGTCATCCCAACCAGTACATGCATTTGCCAGATTACTGAAATTATCGAAATCGAAATTATGAAATTTTTGTTGGAACGTATTTTGTTAAATGCGCAGGAGCCTAACCGTTACATGACGGTTTTTCGATGTGTTGGAACAAACCTTTAATATTTCACTTGCGTTCCACATAGTCGCTCTGTAAATCTTTTAATTGATAAGAATCTTCTATTGGTTCCTCAACCTCATGCTCGGAATTATTGTTCTCTCAATGGCGCCACATTTTAAAAGTATCTACCTACGTAATTTCTTTATTTAAAGAATTTTCACTATCGTTTTCAAACGTTTCCGAAAACAAACGTTTTCGGACTAAACAGTCCATCATCAGGTTTAAAATCGCTAGGTTGAAATGCCTGAGCCACCAAAAATACATGGGTGAAAACCCTTTAAATTACATATAGTTATAAATTTTGGTGGCTCAGGCATTTCAACCTAGAGATTTTAAACCTGATGATGGACTGTTTAGTCCGAAAACGTTTGTTTTTTTTATGTAGCCCTTTTAAGGGTTTTTAAATAAATATACCCACTTACGAAGACTAACCTCTTTTTTTGTGATACGTGGTATACAGCCAGCTACAGGAATTGTTTTCCTTGTGGATTTTGTTAAAAGTATCTGCCTACGTAACTTCTTTATTTAAAAAGTTTTCACTATCGTTGTAGATAGTCCTTTTTTCCTTTCAAAAAAGATATTAGAAACAATAGAGATGAAAACACTTTAAAAAATTGATGGTAAGATACTATCGGACAGAGCTAGAATAACAGATATACGACGTAGATGAAAGGTGGAGAACATCAAGGAATAGGTAAGAAATAGAAGAGTAGAATGGAACGATCGTATAAGCCGAATGACAACAAATAGAATAGTAAAAACGGCAAGAGACGGTTCCCCAATAGGAAGACGATCAGTAGGAAGACCACGAAAATGATGGAACGACAACTTACTGGATGCACATTGAACAACAGACAGAGTTATGTCTACAAAAAAAGAAGAAGAATAAGAAGAAGAGTTTTACGATAGTAAAACGTTCTTACATCTCCGTTTGTTTTTAAATTAAAAATATTTGCATAATCTCGAAAAGACTAATTATCTTATACACAGTAACTAATTTATAGAGCATTAGTAAACACAAACTATCTTACCGAACTCTTTGCTAAACCTAGTTTCAAATTGAGACATTACATTCAGCAAGGACGTAATGTTTGACGAAATAAGAGGGTTGTTTTTAAAATCTCTCTCTAAATCTTTTATAATCTCAATTTTTTTAACATCCGATTCACTGGTTAGCTTTCTATAAAGTTTCATCCAATAAATTGTTATTTGCTGAAACGAAAAATAAGGTTTAAGTAACCGATCACAACAAAACAGGTGTTTAATAAATATCCTTTTCATTATTTACTCACTTTTTTCTCTTGTCCGTCCACATAATGCATATGATGAGAAGGCCACAAAAAGAATTCTTTGAATTTGATAAACTGAGTTAATCTTTCTACAGAAAAGTCTATTGTTAACTCATTTGCCACCAATGTCCAAATTTTAGAAAAATTAGTTGAATTGTATTCTTCTATTTTTACTGAAACTAAACAATCTAATAGGGTGTCAATCATCTTTATCTTCTTTTCTTCTAAAATTACAGTGGAGAAACAATGAGATATTAGTTGCTTGAAATCATTTTTGACTTCATCTGATCTAGAAAAATAACGAATTTATTATTTAATTTTAAATACAAGCTAATGAATTCTATTAAAATATAACATTATGTGGAACTATCAAAAAAATCATGATTAGGGTAGGCTATGCAATAAAAATGTGTATTTGGATTTTAATAGCATCCACAATATTGCACAAAAAAAAATAAATAATACAAATATATGAAATCTGAGTTGAGTGGGTATAAAACAACGTTAAGCCCTTTTGAACACTTTTATGACATATGCAGGAGAGTTATTTGGCATTAATAAAAAAAAATCTGTGACTTAATATTTCATTTAGACATCCCACAAGAAAACAGTTTCTTCAGAATCTTACTAAATATTGCATTTATATGGAATTAACCACAATTATGGCTATATAGATATGGCTGAAATTCTAATCATTTAATAATTTCCTCAAGATAAGTCTGTATACCAAATTTTATTAAAATAAAATATGTCACTTGTATATTTTAGTTAGTTCTGTAAGCCATTACAGTTGTACAAGAGCCGTAAGTATGTCATAATTGTGTTCAACTGATTGCATTCAATTATTAACTAATGCTCAAACTTAACTTACTCGATATTTGCTTCAAGGAAAATCGTCACCAGTTGTTTTAAAAGTTGCGAAATAGAATCCTGTAACATATCTTTATCGAATTCCATCAACGAAGTAAAGATTAGGGTAATGAGGCTTTTGTAGTAACTCGAGTCTTTAGAAAGCTGAAAATTTAATGAAAAAATATTAAGTTCAATAAGCAGATTTTATTCATCAAACCTTAATTATTAATTAATCCAACGTTATTAAATTAATTATCCAACAATTAAATATTTAATTAAATAAAAATTCAATAGACAAAAACTAATGTTTGGGAGTTATGTACAAGGAATATACTTTATTCTCTATATACTCCCTTAAATTCTTCAACCATACACTCTCTTTCTTCCTATACTCCTTCCTCCACTTATCTTTCCCTGTATTATCAGCCTTAGCAGTTCATATCGCTCATTTCTTATTTTTATTGTGTTTATTATTTCGCATTCTTTGCCCATTACCGCAATACTTCCGTGTTAGTTTTCTTCGGTGTCCATGCTATTCTAATCATCCTCCTGTAACAAAACATTTCAAAGGACTGTAACTTATTTATGTGTTCTTGCTTCAATGTCCAGCTTTCAAGTCCATATTGCAGTATCGAAAAGACGTAGCATCTTAGTGCTCTTACTCTCAGTTCTAATCTTAGATCTTTGTTGCAGAGAATTGTTTTCATTTTTACAAACGCATTTCTCGCTATTTCTATCCTAGCTCTTATTTCGGTTGTTTGATCATTATTGTCTGAAATCCAGGTTCCTAGGTATTTGTATTTATCAACCCTTTCTATCGGTACATTTCCCAAATGTATGTTTGTTGGTATATTTGTGTTCTTTGTTATTATCATGTATTTGGTGTTTTTTATATTCACTTTTACTCCATATTTTTCACAGAAACTGTTTTTGTTTAGCAGTAATTGGAGTTGTTCAGCAGAGCTTGCCATAATCACGGTGTCATCTGCATATCTTATGTTGTTAATAGATTTTCCGTTAATTATTATTCCTTCACTTTGAGATAGTAATGCTTCTCCAAAAATGGCTTCACTATACAAATACATAGAATGCTTGACTAAGCATCATTGCAATTCAAAGAAGTGGGGACAACAAAATACTGTCCACACAGCATATTTTATATTTACATATATTAACTAATTATTTTATTAACTCAATATTTATTATAATTATTAATCAAATTTGGGATGATATTCTATCAACTACAAAAATGTATTACGTAATAAAATAACACTGTTTGCGGCAAAAGGTGGCTTTATCAAAGGAACGCGCAGACTTGTCAAAGAAAAGCCGTATTGTTTCTAGACGAGAGACAGTACAGTCCAGTTTCGGGCGGCGCGTTTGACGGAAACATTCGAGACTTTCGTTCACGCCGATATAAATGTTGCGCCTGTAGGAATTTTATTCTGAATTGTAACTTGATAGTGATCCTACGTCGATACAAAGTTTATTATTAAATAGTGGAAAATGAGTGCAGTGAAGAAATGTAAAACGTATCATTTTAATAAGGATTGGGAGGAGGAATTTTTCTTTTCTATGGTGAAGGATAAGTGCATTTGTGTTATTTGTCGTGCGTCAGTTGCAATACGTAAGCGTGGTAACTTAGAGAGGCGTGATAAAACGGTTCATAAAAACTACGAAAAGGATTTTCCGCCACATAGTGAATTAAGAAAACGAAAAGTAAGTGATTTGATATCTTGTTTGAAAAAAGAACAATCCATGTTTATAAGACCAGCCAAACAATCAAAAGCTGCTACGATCGCGTCATTTAAAATATCTCATATTTTGGCGAAACACAAGAAACAATTTGAAGATGGATCGATGGTGAAGGAAGCATTTATTGAAGCGGATAAGACTTTATTTGGAGATTTTAAAAATAAAACAGAAATCATGTCTGCTATTAGAGAACTTCAGTTATCTCGTCCGACTGTCACAAGGTGTATTGAAGTCATGAGTCAAAGACATCGCAGATAAACTAAAACATTATATCATGGAATGTACATATTTTTCTTTACAGTTCGACGAATCCATCGATATGACAGACACTGCCTAGCTGTGTATTTTTATTCGGATGGTATTCAATGACATGTTGGCTAAGGAAGAATTTTTGACAATTATTCCTCTGAAAGGGAAGACCCGTGGCGAAGATATATATGACGTTTTCTTAAATTTTCTAAAAAACTACGAGCTACCAATATATAAATTAATGTGCATTACAACCGATGGAGCACCAGCAATGACTGGAAACAAAAACGGTTTTGTGGCATTGTGTCGAGCTAATGAAGAATTCCCTTCATTTTTTTCATTCCATTGCATTATACATCAACAAGTTTTGTGTTCAAAAGTTTTAAACACGGAGGAAATTATGGGCATTGCAACAAAAATTGTGAATTCCATCCGTGCACGTGGCTTGCAACGGCGGCTCTTTCAGTTGCTGTTGGAAGATAGGGAGTCAGCTGAACACACTGATTTAGTTCTTCACACGGACGTCAGGTGGTTAAGTCGCGGAAAATTCCTAGAAAGGTTTCAAGAATTATTGCCCGAAATAACAGCTTTTCTAGACGAAAGAGGTGATGACACTCAGATTTTGAAAAACCAAAAATGGCTAAATGATTTGGCATTTTTTACTGACATCACAATGCACTTAAACACCGTTAACTTGGAGCTTCAAGGTAAAGGAAAAACTATTATTGAGATGATTAGCGCAGTAAACGCATTCAAAAGTAAATTGCAACTTATGATAGATCAACTGAAAAGAAAGGATCTGAAACATTTTCCGTCTTTGAAAGCAAGGATTCCTCAGTTGAATTATGATACGTATGAGGCTGAATTATCAAATATTTTGGGACAATTCGTAATGAGTTTTTATGATTGCAGTAAATTGGAAAATATAGCATCATTTATGAGTTATCCTTTTTCATGTAAAAACATTGAGGAATTAGCTACTGAAATAGCAAGTCTAATATGAACTCATGTTCTGTTGAAAATGAGTTGGTGCAGATTATATCAGATATACATCCCAAAGCTACAGTATCTGATACAAATTTCTGGCGTTTTATATCTAAAGATAAATATCCGAATGTAAGGCAAATCGCCCTTCAACTGACGGCATTTTTTGGGTCAAAGATAATTAAGTCAGAATATCGCAATCGACTAACTGACGATCATATGACATCATGCTTGCGATTAGCACTCAGTGGTTACGTACCATCTTATGAAAAGTATGCTGAGGACATGCAGTGCCACGCTTCAACATCCAAAGCCACTCCTTAGTTAAGTTTAACACCGTATGTAACTCTTTTGTTTTGTAACAACAAATAAACTCGCAATTTTGAATAACTATGAGTTTTTTCATTGATATTGTAGAGAAGAACCTAACTAAACCTAACCCAAACCTTGACTAAAATAATATACCTATATTGTGCAGAAAGCTAATATCTATATATGCTACAGTACGCCCTACCTAGATAGGTAGGGTGTATCGTATATGTACGACAACCCTGCATCACACACACTTGCAGTCTCTCAGAGTCGATCGTAAGTAGTCTAAAAATATTGAGGTAGATCGCCAGCAGTTCAAGTTTGAGCACCCCTGTCTTAGATATTACAAAGAAAGGCTAAAGTTTTACTTAGTGAGTTATAATCTCATAAAGAAAAATCTAATAAAGAAAAATAAACTACATTTTTAACGACGTAACTAACTAGATACGAAATATACATTAGTTACAAGAAAAAATATTTAATTAATATTCTAATTTGCAAAGGAGAAATAGTAGAGTAACTTACCTTTATATAGCCATCCAAAATATTAATAATCATATTGTTGTAAATAATCTTATCCGACTCACTAGCTGATAGTATGAAGTTAAGAAGAGACTTCCACATACATCTGATCACCTGAAAATAGTGATGTGTTAATAATAAAATAGCTCCACTTAATCAATACTATTCCAACTTGATCATTAATTATTTTTAAATCAAATGTTTATATTATTTTTGTTTTTGGAATATTAAAGGATAAATTAATATAGACGTTATTTTTGATGTAATATTTTTTGGAAAATAAATCAAAATTATACAGGGTGCCTAATTAAACAGTCTACCTTTCGAGGAAACCCCGACACGCGAGTTGTAGTACAATGATTGCTAGAATCCAGTATATTGTCTCGAATTGAAATACACACAAAAGAAATTACGGACATTGATTCACAAATTAAGGAAGTTTCAACATATAATAACCCAGATGCAGGGCAAATAGTCAACGAGATAGTAATGGAAAAGGCAAATCAATTAATTCCAGAAAATATCTCAGACGATATGGTTGAAAGAGAAGATCAAAACATAGATGAAGACGGAAACAAAACAACACATACAGCAGAAGAAAATCCAATTCTTGGCATACATATTTCAGAAAAGCCACTTAACTATTACAATAACCGAATTATTATCAAAACCGCCCACGACATCCAGAAATTGCCCAAACTTTTCATAATAAAAGCGTTATCATATTCAACTATCGAAAGACCAGTTACAAGCCGATACTATAAAATTTTTCAAGAAGCACCTCAACCGGAAAAGAAGTATGCGATTTTATTTGAAGAGGAAGAAGAAGTCTTTACAGAAATTTGCGAAATTATCAGAAAAACTGATGTTTTCTGATAATGTAATCTTTTATTAAAAGATGTTAACTCCGAAAAAAAAACAAAAGGAATTTATAAGGAAATATCATAAAGGAAAAACTAATAGATAGAGGAATAGCTGAAACAGAAAACCAAATAAGAAAACGATACTACTGGCCCTAATATGAAGAAAGGCATAGAATATGTCATAACAGATGTCATGACAGACTTCCTCCTAACCCTAAATTTATGGTTACACCAACTCCTACTAAACCACTAGAAATAGTTCATCAAACCACATCGATTTATTTCAGGCCAATGGACAGAAGTTTCTAACCATAATAGACACATTTTTGAAGTATGGACAAGCCTACCCAATAGATGGAGAAAATGCCATCAATATACTCAACGCTCTATTAATTTTTGTAACACACCATGGACTCTCAACAATGATAGTAGCCGATAATGGTACAGTAATCTCAACATCTCCACTATACAACGCCAGAGAATCCGCAATCCAACGGGATGATTGAGAGATTTCCTTCTACACTAATTGAACATCTTTGGATCCTAAGCGAGCTAAAGCAAAGTTATCGATAAAAGAACAAATGATATACGCCATAATTGGGTATAATAATTCCATACATTCAGCAACCAAGTTAAAACCTATTGATTTCCTAAACGGACACATCGACGCAAAAGATCCATTTGACGTTGGCATAGAGAAAATAATACTAAATAATTATACAGAAAATCATAGAGAGATAACTAAAGAACTATACAATGAAGTTAACCGGCATATACAAGAAAACAAGATCAAGACCAAGTCCCCATTACGTATAAACCAAGCACAAAAATTATACCCGGAAAACAGTCACCAGAACAAATTACTTCCGCGATATTCTGGAAAACTTATAAAAGAAAATAACGAAATAATTGTTAATACATCAAAAGCCACAGTCCATAAGAAAAATATAAAACATCAACCTAAGTTGAAAAATTATTCTGAACCTTCCCCAGAAGATTACCCTGACAATCGGAAAGGAATTGAAGACCAAGGACCTGAAAGACAACCCAGAAATAATTCTCCTCAACCTGGTACAAGCAAAGATTTTCATTACTAACACAAAACCAAGAAATAAAAAAGAAAACTAATATCAATAGGAATCTCAATAAATTCATTTTTGACATTGCAAGCAACGAATATTCTGGAACAATTAAATTTAACTCATCACATTATCCAGAGTTATATATATATATATATATATATATATATATATATATATATATATATATATATATATTTAAGAATATCCATCCTAGATAAACTGCTAGTACAAAACTGCTAGTAAACTTACAGGTACAAAATTCTAGCAACGAAACTCCAGAAGAAGCCAATGCAAAAGTATTGTTCAACCCTCACAAAACTTCTTATTCTTCACAGTTATAGTACAATGACCACTAGAATCCAGTATATTAGACCACGCGAATTCAATAAGAAGTTCCTATCCGGTGCGTATCAGTACCCAATATTCCGGAGCCTTACAACATCAATTGCAACTTACTAAAACAGCAAATTCAGCAAGTGGAATTATTATAAATAAAGCGTTGTAAAACCTGCTTTTTAGTCTGACATTAATGTTATAATAATCTGTTATACATATTTGTATTTGAAGTTTGAATAATATTTTTTGAGTTGTAACTAAAATCTTTGCTAGTGTAAATAAAAGTTTATTTTGAGTGTTCATGATTTTTAAAAGTGTTTTCCAAAAGAACATTTATAATTTGCGTCAATTTAACCTATAAGTAGACCATTTTTGATCGTAAATTAATGGTACACTCGGTTCACTGATCCCCGTTCCAACTGTTTAGTAAATTTAGTAATTCATTTTTTGGTAAGTTTGACATATTTTGACTTTGACTAGACGTACCTGTAAGTTACTGTACAACCAATTGTTCACACACAGTTTATCAACAAAATAAATTTCTTTTGTCATTTATAGATTAAAATAATCAGAATTACATTTTGTAGCTGTTTAGGGGTTATTTTGCTACATGCTACAACTATTCGGTGTCAAAAATCATGATGTCTTACTTTATTTGGCAAAAAACCTATGACGAAAGATGGTAATTTGAACTCAATAGGCTGTAGGATTACCATTACATTTGCCTTTTTATTACACGTTGAATTGTATATATCCAGATCAGCACATTGAAGAGAGACTTCCTACAGAAGAATGTATCCATTATCTCGGATTCCATCGCAGTAGTAAGTCTATGTATAGAATTATTCCTTATAAGATCAAAAATAAAACAATTTTAACAAAGCTCTAATAACCCATATAATCTATTAATGTCATAGATATCATAAAAATATATAAAAATGAGTGACAACTAAATAATGGGACAGTATGGAGTACCTGCTAAAATCCACACAAGGTAAGACAATTATGCTGCGAAAACAGTGCAGCCGGACACTAACAAACGTCAAACTATATTGTACAATTAATTTCTTACCAAATTAAATAAATCGCTGTATTATTTCAATAAAATGGTGCCTGGTATCTGTACAAATTTAAAAATTCGTGAGTTGGTGATTAAAATATTGTAGCAATAAAACAATTCTTTTAGGTAGAGGATGAAATTAATATTCTACGGTGTGGAATATAATTCATTCGAGGCAAAGTTGAGGCAAAAAAGTCGAAGAAAGGCAAGTTACAATTGAATGGAATCATGAAACTGGATTAAATCTGTTGAAGGAATGCTATCGCAAGTGGATATATTATAAATCTGAATTAAAATTTTATAAGGTTGAATTACAGTAACAACTTACAAGTGTACTCGTAATTTCATATACATATTTTAACATATTCTCTTCTTAGCAAAGGAAAAGCCACTGTTAACAGCAAAACAAAAAGCCAGGTTCATTTGGGCAAAATCTAAACTTTCTTGGCGAGTAGAAGATTGGTTCCGAGTAATTTTTAGTGAAGAATGAAAATTTGACTTATATGTTGATGAATACCGTAAACTTAGGTAAAATTAGTGGCGCTGGCTATTAGTTAGTGATGAGTGGTTCAAAATTGATACGTGAAAGATTATTGCGACTGGTTATTATGACTTTTCAAAATTATAACGAACCAATATTCCAGTTTTAGAATTGAAATTAGTTATAATAATAATGTAGGGTAAAATGAATCCTAATTAATTGAGCTCTATAAGATTAATCATTTTAAACAGAAAATGGCGTGTTACATCTATCACCAAAAGAATGCTATTTCTCATGACAAGTGTTAGGTCACTACTTTTTATATTAAAAAAAAAGAAATCCTTGCCTCATCTCTATTAAAATCAAAATCACCATTCTGCAGTAAATTACAGCACTCTCCTACTGAATTAATGATAACGATGTAATGATTTTTGAAGTTTTCTTGGGTTAAAATTGGATTCTTGAAAATGTTTTCTACGCATTCAGTGTTTTCTTCATGGCTGTGTCCTAAAATGGATAGCAGGACTTGGGTGCTTTTTGGCCATATCAGAGGTACGGTTTTTGCCTGGCCTGACCTAAAAAAGAAATAAATAATTTCTATAATAAATAATAATAGAATAAAAGTAAAATTCTATAAAACTTCTTCAAGATTGCATTTGGCGAAACTAAGAAAGGTTAAATAGATAAATGGTGGAGTAACAACGGGGAATAAAATCAAGAATGTAAATATTAGGGGAAGTCTAGGGATGGCAACAATTGAGATAGTCACAAAGCACCGGATAAGAGGGTTATGACATGTTCAACATTCAAATTATAATCAACCAATACGAAGAATTGTTAATAAGTTCCTGCAAAGAACAGCAAAAGAAGACCAAAGAAGACTTGGTGGGAGACGCTTAAGCAGGGTATTTCTGCGAAGGAGATTGATTTTAGTATGACTCAAGATAGAAACTTGTGGAGAAACATAATTAGGGAAGCTGAAGCCTCATAGGAATAGAGACAAAGGTAATAATAATAAGTTTTTAGAAAAGTACATAATCATCACTCACATCATAGTTGACTGAGTTTAAAATTTCGTGAACCTGACGCACTCATTTGGTGACGTCAATCTACGAACGAAACGATGAAATGAGACATCGGTGAAAATATTTAAATGTCTTCACTGCGTTTTCATAGCCAGACAGAGTCGAACTAGTTTTTCCATTAGTGAAGTAGTTGGAGTATTTTTTTTCTAACAGGAGTTTTTAATACTTTATATTGAATTCAGTATGAAATAATTAAAATAGGTAATATTTTTAGAATTTTTTTTCGAGCTTGCGTATTTCTAAGATTCTGAAATATGTTTAACATCTATTACTCAAAACACTTCCCAGCTTTCAAAACGCTAGTGAGATCTTTTTTAGTTACAACAAGGAAATTACTATTTATAACTGGGAATAAGCCACAATTAAAGATAAAAATACGTTTATTGACGTTTCAATTTCCAATTCGGAAATCGTTCTCAAAATACAAACATTCTCTGTTTGTATTTTGAGAACGATTTCCGAATTGGAAATTGAAACGTCAATAAACGTATTTTTATCTTTAATTGTGGCTTATTCCCAGTTATAAATAGTAATTAATTTACAATGCCACAAGAAAATAGCTTCAGAACAATACAACAAGGAAATCGCCTTTTTGTTCAATCAATGCATTCGATATCGGACAAAAAGTGTATTGAAGCATCTAAGAATTTATGAACTTCCCAAATTTTTACTGCACGAGCTCTTAATTTAGTGATAAATAATTCATGGTACCTACTTTTATTCTACCTGAAACACGCGTATTCTTTGATATTGCTGTATATTGATATCAAAGTATTGAAAAGTTTTTATTAACTTATATACATTACAAGATTTCACCAACGACCAATAGCAGTCTACTCAATGAAGTTATTAGAACAATAAAGCTGACACATCTATGTTTCACCAACTTCAAAAAAGGTTTATTCTATGAATAAAATCAAAAAAGATATTCGTTCATTATCGGTCGAATACGTATCTGAATCGGTCATTTCAGAAATAACATGAGTCAATTTTTGACAATATTGAAATTTCTTCATAAATCCGTTTTTTTATATGTCAACGCACCGTTCCAAGCAGGAACAACATCTCGAGATGCTGTAGTAAACTGCAGCTTATATAAATACCTATTCAATTGTAAAACCACATGAGTCATAGGCTGATGTTGTTTCTGCGCAGAATTGTCATTTCAAAACAAACAAAAATTGCTCCAATAAATGCCAGGAATACAGGTTTGAATTAGGAAAAAAAGGGGAAAAAAGAATGGGTAAAAAAAGGCAATTATGTCATAAATTATTAGGAAACCAAGGCTGTGTGGGGAAGAATATGAAAATTATAAAGATGATGTTATACCTGGAAGAAAACCAGGAGGGGACTGTCGGTAAGTTTTAAGGTTAAGTTAGTTTTAAAATAAAAAATTATTATATATTTATTTGTAGTTGTTGCTTGAATGCTTTGAAAAAGTGAATGCGGATGTACCTAATGGTTGAAATACTTGACAAATTCAAAAGCATGCTTACCAAGAATGCACAAGATTCATACTTACAAGGGCTTATGGAAAAATGTGAAGTAAAACAGAGACGACCTCGAAATGAAAATAAGAATAGAGGATATAACATTAGTTACTACGTGACAGATTCCGGCGGCAAAATTATTGTTTGCAAAAAAGATTTCATGGGAATTCATAGTGTGAGTCATGAACGAATATGAAAAATGTATAAGCTTCTAGTAGAAGGAAAAGCAACACTAAATAACCGTGGAAAAAATATGTCGGAGAATGCTAAGTCTGAAAATTAATTAAAACAGATTAAGACTCATATTGGGAGTATTCCCACTAAGACTGCACATTACACGGGAAAAGGGAAGCATTACTTAGACATAAAATTGAATATGAGAATTATGCATGACCTATCTAATAATAATGCAGTGAAGTATAAGTTTTATTTAAAGATTTTCCAGGAACATTTTTCTCTATCTTTTGGACATCCATTAAACGAGACAGCAAAACGCGTGGCCCTTGCGGAATTATCTGTACATAAAAGACGTGCCAAAAAGTTCTACAATAAAATGGCAGAAATTGCAGAGATATGCGAGATATATGCCAGTGTATGTAGCCTAACGTTTGACTATATGGAAAATCTTCAACTTCCACTTATTCCTGTGCAGAAGACTTTTTATTTACATCAACTAATCTACAACTTCTTTGTAATTGACAATATAAAAAAAATGAAGGGAACTTTTACACCTACCACGAGGATCAAGCCTGAAAGCTTTCATTTGTTATGGATTATCTAAAGTCTAGAGCATTAAACGTTGACTTCAGCCATGATCTTGGTATTATTCCGTTTAAATATATATGTCATGAATGAACATATGAATGTTTTTGTTAGAAGTTGAGTACCGTCGATGTTAAATAGCTTTATGAGTTCAGCACATGCATTGTCTGGTCCAGGAGCTATGCTATCTTTTAGTTGAGATATTGCTTTTTCCACTTCATCTGATGTTATTGCTAAGTGGTCATTACTTATGTAGGATGGAGGATGTTCGGAGCAATTATCATCAAAGAGTTCTTGTTTGTATTTGGTCCATATGCATGTTTCTTGATTTTTATCTGTGATTACTGGTTGATCTTACAGTTAAGTTAGCTAACTGTGTTGGATTTTTGAAGACCAGCTACTTATTTTACCTTTTTATGCATATTAAATGTATCATGTTTTTGTTCCAACAACTCTATCTCTTCACACTGTTTATAACCAATTTTCTTTGGCCATTCCTATTTCGGTTCTGAATTATCTCTAAATATTTTTGTATGTTCTTTTGTAGTTCTTTGATTTTCTTCTTTCTTCCATGAGTTGCGGTATATTGTCATTCATCCAACTTTTCCTCTTCCCTTTCTTTTCTATTAGATGTTCTTTTCTGATCTTGTTAAAGGTTTAATATATATATATATATATATATATATATATATATATATATATATATATATATATATATATATATTCTGGAGTATTTCTTCTGAATTACATGTTTCATGGAGCTCCATGTTACTTAGCATTTCTGAAAGAATCCATATGACTGTTTCTTTTGTTTCCTTATCTTTTAGTCCTCTCATATCACATTTTTTGTTACTATTCTTTTTTGGAAATTTTTTAAATGTAAACCTAAATTTACCAATAATAGGTACATGATATGATAATATGTTAGCACAGGGGTAACTTTTAACTGATAGAAATCCATTACGTAATCTCATGTTCGCCAGTATGTAATCAATTTGATTCCGTGTTATGTTTCCTGTGGAGAGACCCAAGTATACAAACGTTTTGGTGGTAGTTTAAAGAACGTATTTAGTATTGCATATTCTTCTTCCTCTAAAAATAGTTTTAATCTTTCTCCCCTTTCATTTCTCTTCCCTAGACCAAAATCACAATTTTTGCATTAAGTACCCATAATAATAGTTATATCTTCTTTTTTAATTTGTTTAAGTGAGTTAATCAACAACTCATAGAATTGTTCTAGCTCTTCTTCTGGATTATCGCTGGTTGGGGCATACACGTGTATCATATTTAATTTGACCAGAGTAGTATTCAGTTGGATTATTATTAATCTTGCAGAAACAGGTATAACATTTGTAACATATTGACGTAATTGAGTGAATACGATTACTTCAACCCTATAACTACTCCAAGTCTGGTTATTTCTTGAATGGTATTACGAAGTTTTCTATCCTGATACATTGTATTCACATTCCAGGTACATACTTTAATAATCAACTCTGAATTTTTTAAAGACACTTTTCCAGAACTGTCAGAGGAGTTTCTCTGGGTTACGACAGGGATCTAGAGGTGGATCACCTCCCCTGCCGAATCTTCTGTATTCCATGATTACTAATTGTTTCCACTTTAGTTCTATTTGCCATGATACGTTTACTAGAGATGTCATCAGAGTCCTTTAATGCGATGGTGTCACGTTGTCGTCTGCATTCTGATGTCGTTGGCCATTTTTTGTTCTTCTGCGTTCTAGACCAATTTCTAAATTTTAGGATAACAGAGTACCCTTTTAATTCTCTAAAATTTTTTGGTTCTTTCACTCTAATTTTCAGTAAAACAAAGATTAACCAAAAACAAAAATTTTAAGTTACATGATTACGGTAGTAAATAAATGCAATGCGCATGTACCAACGAATACCTACAGTTACAAGCATCTATATATTAAACTAAAAATATAATGCAAAAATTAAAAATATAATATAAAAAAGTCAATACCTGTGGCTATCCTTGTCGCTCGAGTTAACACCAAAACAGAATTCTAAAAATTCAGAAAGGCACAAAACACTTTCACTTTGTAGCTTCTGCAGCAAGTGCACAAAAACATCAAATCTTTTCGCAATTACTACTTCTTGTTTGGAAAACTTCGCTTTTAGAGGTGTTACCAATAATTTTATTTGTTTTGCAGAACGAATGTGATGTGGGTCTAAACTAGCATTATCAATGAGCTCCTGAAAAGATATATAACATTTAACACACCTTTATGTAAATAGTATGAGTAAATATCCCATTAAAAATCATTGTACACGAAATCCGTGGTTTTGCAACATTGTCAGATAAAATCGTCGAAGAGTTGTTTATTTAGAATACATTTAATATTTTTTTAATAAACATTAATATTACAAACACCGTAAAAAATAGGAAACTAAGTGCACAATCCCATGAAATTATGCACAATGTTTTAAAATTTACGAAAAAGGAAGCAGAAAGAAACACACTGCTTATTGAGTTACATAGGATACAAAAACTGAAAGCTGCTTTGACAGGTAAGTTAATTGTATGTTAAAAAATATTATAGCAAAGAAGTAGTGTGGTTTGTAAATAAGTATTCTGAATATTTTCGACTAAATGCTAACAAAATACACTAAGATTTATTGTTGTATAACATGTCAAGTAATTGAATGAAACAAATTAAAACAGATGCATGTTGCAGGTGTCAGATTTTCCAGTGTACAAAAAAATCACCAAAGAAGGTGGTGACATTCTGAATGGACAAAGTTTTGGATTTCTAACACCCAACGAACAGCACGAAAAATCGTCCAAAAATCAAATTAGATGATGTGACCAAGATATATTACGCAGGGAGATATACAATTTTCATCTAACGAACAACAGGTTCCCATTGTTAAAAAGATCCATCGGAAATTTGTAGTCGTGTATTGAACTATAAAAGGTAGCAGAGAAAGTATGAGACAGGAAATTCATTAGCGTGGGTTTCGTTGGAGAAAGACATCAAATAATAGAAAAATATTGATTGAGAAACACGACATTAGACATTTAAGACTGCAGTATCTCAAGAACATTAAAGCTAGGAAGAAAATAAATTTATTGTTTTCACTGACAAGACTTATTTGTTAACCATTAGTGTAACATCGATGAAATGAAAAGAGCTATAAAGCTATCAAAGAATAGGAAAGCAACCGGTCCAGATGAAATTCCAAGCAAAATAATCAAACTGCTCGACGATAAGGGCAAACATTCTCTTCTAAGCCTCTTTAATAAAATATACGAAACAGGACATATACCAACAGACTGGCTACTATCAACATTTATAATGATACCGAAAGAAATAAATGCCAAACAGTATAGCGATCATCGCACTATCAGTATGATGAGTCATGTACTAAAAATTTTCTTAAGAATACTGCACTCGAAAATTTACAACAAAATAGACGTACAACTAAGTGAAACACAATTTGGTTTCAGAAACAACCTTGGAACCAGAGAAGCACTCTTCAGTTTGCAGGTCATGGTTCAAAGATGTAGGGATATAGAACAACCAGTATATATGTGTTTTATCGACTTCGAAAAGGCCTTTGACCGAGTAAACCATGACAAACTTATAAGTGTCTTGCAACAGGTGAGAATTGATGAGCGAGACCTCCTTATTATCAAAAATTTGTATTGTCATCAATGTGCAAACATACGAGCTGGACACAACATGACGGAAGCAGTGGAAATACGACGTGGAGTGAGGCAAGGATGTATTCTATCGCCACTACTTTTTAATATATACTCCGAACTTATTTTCAAAGAAGCCTTAGTTGAAGATAATACAGGCATTAAAATCAACGGAATTAATGTCAACAATCTCAGATATAAAGACGACACGGTACTTATTGCCTCCAATGAAGAAGACCTGCAACGACTTATAAATAGGGTAACCGAAGCATATGATGAATATGGGCTAAAACTTAATACTTCTAAGACAAAATTTATGGTTGTCAGCAAAACGGAGTTACAACCAACAAATATCAGAGCGTATGGAATAGAGTTAGAAAGAGTCCACAATATTACCTACTTGGGTGCAAACGTTAACGATAACTGGGATATAAATAAAGAAATAAGAATACGCATTGAAAAAGCCAGAGCCGCCTTCTATAAATTAAAGAAAATTCTTATTAATAGATATATTACGTTAAGCTTTAAAATCAGATTAATATGCTGCTACATATTCTCCAGATTGCTGTATGGTATGGAGAGCTGGACCCTTACAGAGACATTAATGAAAAAATTAGAGGCCTTTGAGATGTGGATTTATCGACGAGTATTGCGGATAAGTTGGGTTGATCGAATAAGAAATGAAATAGTTTTACATCGAATGAAAAAGAGCACAGAAATAACAAAAACGATAAAAATTCGGAAGTTACAATATTTCGGTCATGTAATGAGACATCCAGAGAGGTATGACCTTGTACACCTCATAACACAGGGTAAGATCGACGGAAGGAGAGGCCCAGGCCGACGAAAAACATCCTGGCTACGAAATCTCCGAGAATGGTATCAAGAAACCACCGCTAATTTATTTAGAGCCGCCGTGAATAAGGTTATTATTGCCAATATGATCACCAACGTTCGATAATCGGACAGGGCACTGAAAGAAGAAGATGAAGAAGAGTGTAACATCATTATAGAATTGTTATAAATATTTATCAAAGTTCTCAATCGGTTTGACCTTGGCGGTTTCAGATATTTCTCTCTACATGTACTCTTAAGCAAATCTTATAATATAATCTTAAATAAATATTAATAAACCCAGGTGAACCGAACTCACTGTATCTCTTTCTAATGGATCGGGTTTATCGACCACGTGACCTAAATGACTCATGGGAAGGTCACGTGGGGATATTTTTGTTGGGAATAAGCCACAATTTTACTTAAAAGTTAAGTTTATTTGACGTTTACATTTCCACTCCGTAAATCGTTTACAAAATGCAAAATATTAACAAATTTAAACAAATTTTGTTTTTGTTGCTTGGTAAAAAGTTCTAATAATTTCATTTTATCTAATTCATTCATATTGACAATTCAGACATATCCGGAAAATCATAGCATGTGATTTGTCTTTAAAAAGACAACCGCATGCAATGATAAAGGTAAAATTAGTTAGTGATCTCATAGTAAATCATAAAGAAAAACCTCATGAAACTATCCCGGCATGGTAAGTATTTGGTATTTTATTTATTTTTACTCTCAATAATAACATCAAACTCCGACTTTATATGAGGACCCTAGAAGTAAAGGGGTATAAGTGACATTTTTGTAAATATTGAGATAACTGCATTGCCGAACTGGGAATCTCTCATTCTATTTGGAGTTAAAGAAATCTAAAGCTGGATTTATAGTTTGACGGACTGTAGACGTAGACGCACTGGAAAAAGATCAAGATAGAATTTTGTGTACTCTTATTTATAAATGAACGTAAACGCAAGACGGGACGTAAGCGAAACGCACTGTAACGGAAGAGTTGGTCAACTTTTATCTTTTACAGTGCGTTACTTGCGTCTGGCCAATCAAAAGGAAGGAATTTTGTGCTGTGAACCAAAGTGAACTGTCTGGCCCGCCCACCATTTTGTAAAGTTGCTTATCAACATATTCGAATTTTAATTTTGTTAATTATTTATTACAATGGACGTTAAGAATTTATAAAATAATAATAATAAATAATAAAAGGATATTATAGTATCATGTTCATCAGTCTAGAAATTGTTTCTACAGTCTAGAAACAGTGCGTCTACGTCTACAGTCCGTCAAACTATAAATCCAGCTTAAGCGATAAGTCTAACAGGTGCTGCGTTCTAGCGGCAAATTACTTAACCTCCAAGCTAACTAAGAGTAGGGCTTGGAAGAGAAGAGGTACAAGTGCACTTGTACCCCTATTCCACTGTGTCAGATTGTTAGTTGAGTTTGTTATCATTTTTTATGGGTAGTATTATTATAGCTCCTCTAAAGCAATATTAATTTGTTGTTATAGTAATACTTTATTGCAAACGGCAGTGTTTTATTTTATTGTAAATTCTGGTGTTTTTAAGAAGAGTTCGTTTTTTTATTAAGCTTTTCAAAGGGACATATAAAATCTGCTATTTACATTTAATTATAGTCAACTTCGCATATTATTTAAGGCAACTATAGACATATAACTTAGGGGTCCATAACCTACTAACTAAAACTACCCATTTCTTTATGTGGCACGAAGGTCAGGCGTCACGTGGATGTCAGGAAATATCATCTTGTCTCCTAAAATTAATATAAGCCTCCCCCATCTGTGCTACTATGGCACCGTCGCCCTTCCAGGCGAAAACTTCGATGACCACCTACACAATCTCTATGAGGAAATTCACTGCTTATGTGTGTTAGCTGATGCAGTACGAAAGGCTGTTTCAGACGCCAATATTGGACCCTCGTGTCAAGTTTAAACATTGACGCAAATAATAGGGTAAACTAAAACCTATTAGGTTACCGCCCCCTCGACACACGCCGCCCAAAAGCTAAAAATCTATCTTTTTCTAATGCAGTACGACCCCTGAATTGCAGTGCTCCCCATCCGATACTGGCTTCAACTTCGGCTTTTTGAATTCCATTTCCAACACATTGAGCACAACCAAGACGTTTAAAATATCTGACGTATAATATCTGACTAATAATCCCTAACTCCGAACTGATCAAGACTAAAGGGGTTAAGAATGTAGACACCACTTGATGCTGCATTGTTTTTGTATTTAGTGACAATTGTGGAGGCCAAACAGGTGTCATCTGACAGTCAAATTTTGGCTCTACATTGTAAGAAACATCAATATTCAAACAGTAGATCATCGCTAGTTTATAAGTGGCCATTCTTATAATGAGTCTATCAAACTAAAACTTTGCTTTGATACAGTTAAAAAAGAAAAGATCCCTAAAAAGGAGCTGGTCACTTTCTACAAGTAGAAAGTTCTTTACAGTACAGATGAAAAATGACGATTTTTTAGACTTCCAAACACTTGCGCCATACTTTAAGAAGAGCGTAAACAGAATACAGAGTATGCAAGGGATACATTTTCAGTAGGACAAACTTTTCACACCTTTTTACAAGAATACAGCTGGAGGTAGCATAGAAGAGTTTAATGAGCTATCTATGAGACCCACTCGAGCTGGCAAAAATTCTGTCCTTCTGCTGCCAGTACCGATTGCCATAAGGCCTCTCATTAAGCAAGCTTAATGAGAGGATTTTTAGATAGATAGATAGATAGATTTTTATTTAAATAGGAACCCTAATATACATACAATATAAATAAAGTACACTATAAATTTTTGATATGTTGTTTAAGTAACAGTTTGAAATTATTAAGACTAGTACATTTTTTTACAGATGTTGGTAACTGATTAAATTTAACGAAGCTTTTAAAAAAGAGCGAATTCATCGTATATGAATAAACCTCGGGTATCACCCGAATAAACCTCGGGCATTATAAGATTGAATACTTTTGTTGAAAGAAATGAATTCTTGAAAATATTCAGGTGATAAGCCATTTACTATTTTGAAGACCAAAATCATGGTCTACAAAACAGTCTATTTTCAACAGAGAACCAATTTAGAGTATTTAACATCGACCCAATTGGGGTACAGCGATTTGTTTTCAAGAATTATTCTCATTCCACGGTTCTGTAATTTTTGTAGCATGTTAAGTTTGTTAAGATTAAATAAATATAAAATTGATGAGCAATAGTCAAAATAAGGTTGAATAATTGTGTTATATACTGTTATTTTTGTTTCCATTGATAAATTTTGAGATATTCTACTCAGAAAGTAAAGTTTTTTTGATATTTTTTTATGAACGTACTCGAAGTGACTCTCAAAATTCAGAGTATTATCAAGCTGGAATCCCAAATATTTAACTGTTGTGACAATTTCAATTTTTTTTTATTAACATTTAAATTTATGATTTCAGAATCAAGCAAGCTATATTTATGTTTGGTAGTGAAAATCATTGCCTTAGTTTTTTTCACATTCAACTTAAGTTTATTCATTTTTAAATATATATTAACCATATCTAAAATGGTGTTCATTTTTTGAATAGCTAAATCAAAATTTTTATCACTACAACAGATTAGAGTATCATCGGCAAAAAGATTAATAAATTCACAATTTACAAAAATATCGATATCGTTAATGTACAGAATAAATAAAAGGGGGCCTAATACACTACCTTGAGGAATCCCTGTATTACTATCCATTTCAGATGACAATTGGTCTTTAAATCGAACTTTCTGTTTGCGATCTTGTAAATAATTTTCTAACCACGCAATTACTGTACCTCCTATACCATATTGTTTAAGTTTAGAAATCATTATTGTTCTGTCAATGGTTTCAAAAGCTCTCTTTAAATCAAGAAATACACCGACTACATACATATTTTTATCTAAATTACTCTTTATGTGACATAATGTAACTTGTAACGCTGATTCACAAGAGAATTGTTTTCGAAAACCTGATTGATTATTAATTAAAATTTTATTTTTAGTTACATGTTCTAATAATTGTTCATAAACAGCAATTTCTAATATTTTCTCTATAGGAGGTAAAGTATTGATTGGTCGGAATTCTTCAGCTTTGATAGTGTTGGGTATTTTTTGAATAGGGGTGATGTTACTTATTTTTAATACACTTAAATCAGGAATTCTACTCGTAGTAAGAGATGTATTAATTAAATTTAACATAACGTGCCCAATAGTTTCAAAAACTTCCTTTACCATTCTGCAATTTAACGTTTCATGTAGTGAGAATTTATTATCCAAATTGCCAATAATTTTTCGCAAATCCTGCATAGAAAGCATTTTAAATTTTTCAAAATTTAAATAAAGATTACTATTTACATTACACCATGTTTCAGAACTATCAATACTTTGAACAATACTTTCAATGCTTTCCACAAAATACTCATTAAAACTGTTAGCTATTTCTACTTCGTTTGTTAACCGTTTTAGACCAGTAGTGGTTTCAAAGATTACTGTGTTTGGCATTTCTCGACTATTATTAATGATTAATTTTTTTAAAGTTTTCCACATTTTTTTTGGATTGTTTCTATACCTGTCTATATTGTTAAAATAGAATTGCTCTTTTTTTAGCTTTAACATATTTACTACCTCATTTCTATGTCTCTTAAAAACCTGCCATTGATGTTGTTTTTCAATGACATCAATACATTTTTTAACAGTTACTCAACTACGTACCTATTTTCTACCATGAGTTCTTTACAAATCTGCGACATGATGATCAACAAGCTGGAGAATTAGCACACTCAGAAGAAGCAAAAGTCGAAAATGACGATTACGACACTGATAATTACGAATCGTAAGTCAACTATGTATTAGTGTTATGATGACGAATAAATTTGTACAAAAACCTTATGATCGATTTACATTTTTACCTTTATGTTGCATTTTTTAGAAGTAAAGGGGTACAAGTGCTACTTGGCCACCTAAAAATAGCTCCAAAATGAGTCAAGTCAATGAAATTATGAGTTTTTGTTACAAAAAATTATAATGCCTACAGTTACTAAGTCAGAGAAGAAAAACTAGCATTAAATAATCATGGCAATTACAATGAAAGCTCAACTTTAAACGGAGTTTATTCAAAATTTACTTTTTGTTACTTATACCCCTTTACTTCGAGGTTCCTCATATGCACCTATTTTATTTTAAAATCTAAATGATGTATCCTCGATATGTTATTGACTTACTAATATTCTTAAGTTAAATAATAAGTTAAATTCTTAAGATTAAAGTCATCTACTTTAAAAAGTATAATATATATCTAAATTGTCAATATGAATGAGTCAGATAAAATTAAATTATTAAAAGAATTTTTACCAAGCAATTTAAGCAATTTAATTTATTAGTGTTTTGTATTTTGAGAATGATTTCCGAAGTCGAAATCGAAACGTGAAATGAAATTAATTTTAAAATAAAATTGTGACTTTTCCCAACAAAAATAGTAAATTGCATTATCCACAAAAAATAGCTTCAGAACAATATACATCAAATTATTACATACCTTCCAGCAATCATATCCTCTAAGTCTTTGTTCATGTGATGAAGTCCTAAAGGCATATTCCACAATCCTTAAGAGCCTATTAGTGAGATCCATAGATTGGTGGATTTTCTTAGCGCAAAATCTGACCAAAAATATCCACAGTTTGTGCCAGTTTTGATAGCTGGAGTCACGAAGCTGACTAATAGTAGGTATGTATCTAAACATAAAAAAATGTAAGTCAACGAACGAAAGAATAATAAAGCTATTTAAAAATATGATCATCTTCATGAAAAAACTACAAAATTAGCATGCTTTCTGCGTAAATTCTGCACTAAGACAGGAAGATCCGCTGTACCCATTGTTGTTTAACCTGGCATTAGAATGCCATTCTAAAATTTATCCCGAAAATCAAACTACACGTAGCTGCTCAGGAGTAAAAATTGTTCTCGCCTTTGTCGATGACGTAGATGCAGTAGCATAATCAACATTAGAGGTTAAGGATATTTTCTCGAGCTTTGAAGAAGCTATATAAATATCGGTCTAAAAGTAAATGAGGACAAAACAAAATACGTGATCGTTTCAAAACAAACGGCGACAAATAAGACAAAATATTACTACAAACGATAATAACTTCGAGGTGGATAAAAAATTTAAATATCTAGGAGCAAAAATCACCAATGACAACGAAGTAGAATGAGAAGTTGAAACACGAATATTGTCGAGAAATAGATCTTTCTTTACAATGCAACATCTAATGAGGTGCAAAAATCTAGATATATAAAAACATAATATGACCAACAGTCGCGTATGCTAATAAAAAAAAGAAGTAAATACATTATTGATATGGGAACGTGAAATCCTTCGAGAAATATATGGCTCTTGCAGAGATAGAGTGACAAACGAATGGAGGCTCAGATACAACGAGTTAGAGTCTCTCTTCAGAAAAGAATATCTAGTGAGATATATAAAAGGCCAATAAAATAAGATACGCAGGACAAGTGATACGCAGTAATGACGAACAATCACCTTATAAACAATGTGTTTTGGGAAAGACCAGATGAGAGAAGATCTGTAGGATAGCCTAGAAAAAGATGGAAAGATGCAGTTTGAGGGAATCTGGAGAAAATGGGAGTGGCATAATGGAAAATATTGGCACAGGACCGAGAAATATAAAGACAATGCCTAAGAGAAGGAATTCTGGTCTGTACAGAAAAACGTGGTAACATTGCACTTTGATTACACTGGTGGAGTGTTCGTCAAATCGTGCAGGATATGATGCCGATAGAAAAGGCAATCAGGACCAAATGTCCTTCCACCAATTGGTTGGAGTATCATACAAATTAATTGAATAGTAAGAGCATTGGTGTAATGCAAAATGAGAACTCTTTTTGGGTACACTTGGTTACACTAAACGATTGCCTCTAAATAGTTTAGTCGAAAATGGAACTTTTCTTACATTTTCATGTAGCAAACTTTTCCCTGAATGTTCACACTTTAAAGTCAAGTTAAAACACTTAATCACTTTAGTTTTAAATTTCACTCTGTTGTTTATAAATTATGTTAATTGATTTGTTTATTTAATATGAACATAATTATTGTTTACTTAAAGGTTATCTTGTTTTTTCCATAGTTTCATTAGTCTATTAATTCCTTTTATGTGATTAGATTAGAATAGGCAGTTGAGAGAATCAATGTGATTTTCGATTATAAATAAACAAAAGTAACATTCTTATATCTTACATCTTTTAACATAGTTTGTTTTGCTTTGCAATTTATAGAAGGCACAGATTAAAGTAAAAATCAAAATTTTGGTTTGGTCAATAGAAATCTTCGGATTTCTGCTTTCTTGATTTATTATCAGATATCTCTATAGCGTCCATATTGAAACCATTTTATTGTTGCTTCTTTTTACCAAAATGTAAATTTATTCACGTATTCAAGATTTGTATTCACGTTTAGAGCTTCTGTGGCCGTCGCTCTTATGATTCCTGGTAGGATGAAATACGTATAAACGAATATACAGAGACACTATACGGGAAATAAAATCTTAACTGTCTTTACTTTTAAAAATAACATTATTTATTCAACAAACGTAACCTAACGAAATAAAAATGATTCAAGAGAAAAAAAATGGAGATAAACATATGGTCCTCAAAGTATGAAACAATTTTCCGTACCGTCATCCCTGTTTATGGTATGCCTTATGTGAAAAACGGATGCATACAAAACCGCATAAAATATTTATTTTGAACATAATTTAATAAAGGTTTACTACACAAGAAATAATTATTAGAACTATAATAACTGTTTTTATTCATTAATGTAACTATGGTACCATTCGACAATAAAATATTGGTTAAATTTTAAAAGTGACGGTGTATAGAAATTTGCAAATATAATAGTTAATATTATGTTTAAATTGTGGTAGATAGTAAAATATTTATCATTACGGCCCATTAAATATATGCTATTTTTAATATTATTACACTAGAATATTGTGTACATGATTAAAGAAAATGTGTCTGACAAATTAAAAGTCTCATACATAAAAACGAACAGACTGGCTTGACAATTATATTAAGATTGCACGATCTATAAGAGTCTCTAAACATTATGATGGTGTCACCCGTGAATTCACACATATACTTACTTTGAGTAAATGTCTTTGACAAATTCTTCATACTCTGTAGCAGACAGTTGAGATATTACTATAGACTTACATAACATCAGACCAATGTCAATAAGAAAATCTCTTGTTGAATTATCAGTCTCAAGTAACATCATATTAGGTATTATTTCCTTTAAAATAAAATTCTTCTGTACATCTTTGGGCAAGTCTTGATTGAGTTGCCTCAGGATTGTCATTAACTAAAAATATATTATTGATTATTTTAACAATCAAGATTAAACACGAAAACAGTGTTTAACAATGAAATATATTAAGAGCTTAAAAAATGCTTTAAACCTTCTATAAGGGTGAAAAGTTTTACACCCTTACAATGTTTTTATTCCAAACTCTTTCTAGAGTAAATTGGACTGCTCCAAAATGACTACCTACCTATTAAAAGAATACAGCCTAATGAATCTTCTTTTGATTTCTATAATTGTTGGAGAACTATAATCTCCAACCAAATAATTCTATTCGAAACAAATAAAATTTCCGCGCCGGTTACATAAATAAAATCCAGTCTGCATTATTTCTTACTGTTATTCTCCGCCCATTAGACCTTTTAAACCGGCCGAAATTCAAAGTTTCCTTTCAAGTTTCGGAGAGTTTTTCTTCACGTTCGCAAGTTACGCAATATATCGGAAAACCCTAATGTGAGAAGTGTTATGGTGTTTTCGTTCGTAAACTGTAAATTTCTAATTAGGTTCCTTACGTTTAGTTATTCACTCACAATTTATAAGTTTCTATTTCTTGTCCTTTTCAATTACAGTTCTAGCTTAAAAAGAAATTGTTTTATTTCACTCTATCAATCTATTCAACAGGCCAGATTAAATCACATTTAAGAGTCCATTTAAGTTTCTATTACTGAGCATTCGAAGGCAAGTGGAACAATTGGACTTGCAGCAAGTACAAACCGCTGAAAGAGACACTGTTATAGTGTATTTTTATGTATGAGAGAGTAATAAAACAATAAATTATGTATGCAAATCCCTAAACTGTTGATACGGGTGACTCAATGAAAAACAGATATTTGTCAACAAGTTTACAGAAGTATATAGGAAAACAAGTTTAAATTGAGTATGACCACCAGGTATAAAGGTTGGAGCAGAATAGAATACAATAGTTGTGAGGGTTACTAATCCCTAAATAAGGTTGCCAGTGTCGGAGTGATGCAGGTTAACAGGCACTAATGAATTTGCAAGAAATGTAAGATGTTTATTTTATTGGTTATATCTAACCAATAAAAGTTTAATAAGTACCTGCCTATTTGCAAAATAAAGTTGAATTCTTTAGATAAAATAAAACGTTTTATTTTATCTGAAATGAGTGCATTCCACGAAGTAAGGGTTTCAACAATCAAACATTTAATTCTTTAATTCCAGGAATCTACCACAGTAATTGACTAGATAATTACCTTCTAAACTTATTCCACAGAAAATGTGATAGTGGGTTTTTCCATTTTGTAGGAAGGTCCAAGTGGCGTATTCAAAATTCTTAACAGTTCACTAAAAGTAGGTACTTCAGTTGCAAGGTGCAGTTTATTGTGTATACTAGTGTTATGGAAAATTTGGAAGTGCCGTGTAAACGCCGAAAAATTGGTCCTTTAACAGTTAATGAAAAAACATTAATATTTAATTGTTTTAAATCATTTACAGACAAACGTTTATGTGAAAGTGTTGATGAGACCGTTGAGTTAGTTAGCAGTACACTTGGTGTTGGGAAATCTACGATTTACAGAGTTATTAAAGAAGAGAAATGTGGTAGTTTTCAAATGCCACGTAATGCTCCAGGGAAACCAAAATTTCAAATAGAATATCATTTTAAAGAAGGACTTCGACGGAAAGTGCATGAATTCTTCTTTAGACTAGAATTTCCAACATTGGATAAAGTTCTTGTCTCAGTTCGAGATGATAAGGATTACCCAGAAATGAGTCGAAGTACGTTATGGAAACTTTTAAAAGAAATAGGCTTCCGCTGGAAAAAGAATCCCAGAAAGTCTATTTTATTAGAAAGAAGCGATATTGTCATATGGAGAAGACATTTTCTAAGAACCATAAAGGAAATGAGAAACCAAAAAAGAAAAATATTTTATCTTGATGAAACATGGATCAACGAGGGTCATACACCAAATAAATTTTGGCAGGATGAAACTGTTACAAGTCAAAGGCACGCTTTTGTAAATAACTTATCTACTGGTTTAAACCCACCATCAGGAAAGGGACGCAGGCTGATAATAGTACACATTGGCAGTTCAGACGGTTTTGTTGAAGGTGGTTTATTAACTTTTGAATCAACTCGTACCGGTGACTACCATGAAGACATGAACGCTGATGTCTTTCAAGAATGGTTCGAACAAATGATAGATCTTCTTCCTAAGAACTGTGTAATAGTAATGGATAATGCAAGTTATCACTCCAGACTTATAGAAGGACTGCCCACAACCAAGTGGTTAAAAAAAGACTTGCAGAATTGGCTGAGTTCAAAAAATATTACGTACCATCCCGGATCTATAAGAAAGGAACTTTATTCGTTGTGTGCCCTTCATAAAGAAAAATTTAAAAAATACGAAATTGATGAAATTGCCAAAAATCGTGGAATGACAGTACTTAGATCCCCACCATATCATTGTGAATTAAACCCGATTGAACTGGTATGGGCACAGATAAAGAGTGAAGTTTCAAGAAAAAATACCACTTTTAAAATTCATGATGTTAAACAGTTGTTTTTGGAGGCAGTAAATAATGTAAAACCTGAAAACTGGGAAAAGGCAGTAAATCATACTATTAAAGAAGAGGAAAAAATGTGGAAGCTGGACAATATTACTGATAAAATGATCGAGCCAGTTATTATAAATCTTGGTTCTGAAAGTTCATCTTCTGAATCTGATTTGGATTTGTAACAAGTAGCTGTAAGTTTTATATTAATATTTTTATTCATCTATTTAACATACCTTGGACGGTTTTAAAAACTCTTTTTCTCTTTTGTAATTTTTAAAAATTAAAAAAAATGTGAATTTTTTAAAACCCTTTTTAATGTAGGCGAGTCAGTTCTAATATAGTGTGTGATAAAAGAGGTCACTTTTGTTTACATACACATAACACTTTATAACACTGAAATAATTCATTTATTTTTTACAATTATTCAAAGTAATTTTTCAATTAATCTTGAGCACGCCCATGGAGTGGTCGAAGGTACCAGTTAAAATTATGCTAATTACTCTCTCGTTCATAAAAATAAACTATAGTATACAAGACTCTCCCTGAAGGAATGTTAAAAACCGGCATCCCTCCAATAATAATATAGAAAATATATGGCTATTAGCCATTCATTCATTCATTAAAGTCAGCATTCGGAGCTCATATTTGGCTACCATAAAGCCGTGTACAAATCAAGTTTGCGAGCTGTTCGCGAACAGTTTTTGGACGAACTTTGTAATGAGTTCGCTGTTTGCTAAAGGTTCGCTTGGATAGCGGTAAAATCAAAGTTTGTTCGCGAAAAACCAGGGTTGGGCTGTTTTAAAACAAGCTTTTTAAAACAACGTTTTAAAACATGTTTAAAAACACTGAAAAAAAAACAGTTGCATTTTAAAACACTGTTTTAAAACACAGGTTTTTTTTTTCGTTATTGTTTATTATTATTTTGTTTATTAACATTTGTTATAAGACATTTGTGTTTGCTAATTTGCAAAATTGCAAACATAGACTATAGAGTAAGTAGGTGCAATAACAATATTAATGCTAAGTAAAAAGTAAAACTCAAAAAAAGTAACTGACTAAACTTTATTTATGTTCAGGTAGCAAGCATACTAGTACTGTTACGACAGTGCTGTAGTAACATTAACTAAACCAATACTCCTAATAAAGTTAAAAGAAAAAGAAAATTAAGAAATTAAGTAAATAATTATTGAATTACAACAGCATCTATTACACAGTCCTACATCCTGCAACTGATATGTGATACAAAAAATAAAAATAACAATAAATGTTCCTTAAAAAAATAAAAACTATAAATATAGAGCTTTTACGGTTAATAATGTAACCTTAAACATTTTTATTTAAATGTTGAAATATTGTTACTAGCTTAGCAGATTTGTCACTTCCTAACCTATTCCTCAATTTCAAGTGAACTAGACCATATGAAGAAAAATAGCCTCTCCACTCCAGCACTGGATGCAACTGCTGAAAATAATTGAGTTGTCAGCTGCAACAACTCCGATGAAATAAACTGTTTTTGAGATAGCCACCATGTTAAAGAACTTAAATTGTCTACTGTATTTTTTGCAAACAAATATTGTTTATTAAATGGCGGTGCTAAGGCACGAAATGACAGTATTTCGGGCATTACATTTGGGTGAAAATCCGAAATAAATAACAATGCTCTATCAACTTCCACCTCAGAGAGTTTCTGACCTAAGTACTGAGGGTCTAATAAATAAGCTAAATAATGCGCATCTGTTATAGCCAGTTGAAAACGTGCTTCTGCTTTATGAAGTTCCAACACGTTGCTACAACCGTTAGATTGAGCTTCACTTTCACTTTGGAAATAACCCAGTAAGTCCTTCCAAATGTCCGTTGCATCTGCTATGGTGTAGGTATTTCTCTGGCATTTATCCAAAGCCCATATGTGTGCCAGTTGAGGTTTATGGGAATCCCCTTTAGAAATCCAGTGAAGTACGTAATTATTTTAAAACGTTTTTTTTTTTTTTGTTTTAAAACAGTGTTTTTTTGTTTTAAAACAGTGTTTTTTTAGATGAAAAAAAAAACTGTTTTAAAACAAAAAACATTGTTTTTAAACAAAAAAAAAAACATGTTTTTTGTTTTGTTTTTTTTTAAACATTTTTTTGTCCAACCCTGCGAAAAACTAATTAGTAAACAAAACGGTCTGGACGTCTTGGAATTCGTTTAAACCAAAAAGAGGTTATGTTCATTATTTACTTTAGTTTGAAATTATATTTCAATGTGTCTTTTATTGCTATTTATCTTCACGTACTTCTGGTACAATTATCTTTTTTTGATATTTTGAACAGGTACATAAGTCTAGTAAACGAATCGCCAGTTGCTAAAAAATGTAGTCAGTGCTGGTCCCTCCTGGACTGTTAGTAGTTCGTATTTTGTTAAATACAAGTGGTCCAATCCTATTTATTTCTTCAAAATCTGATGCACTCATACATCAGATGACAGTTAAAATTATTAAATATCCA